GTTTGGATTTCCGGGCACAAGCACCTCTACTGGCAGTCCGAGAAGTCTGGCGCCATTCGAGCGAAAGAGCTGCTCGGTGATGGTTTCGAACTCGCTTTCTGCGAATGTGAGTGTCAAAGTAGGAGTTTGGACCCTTCCGTTTGCTTAAGGATATGTTGTATTCTCCCCTGTTGGTTTTAAAGGGAATCTATCACTACTGGCAATATTTTTCCCTGGGGACTTACGGGAGGGACCCCCTAAAATGGTGGTTTTACTTGTAGTCTCCCTTCGAAGGTATGTTTTTTGGAGGCCTTTCTTTGAGACCACGGGCATCCAAGGGCCTTCCCGTTTAATTGATTCAAGTAGTCATAAGCATTGCCTACTTTGTATTGTAGAGAGACGTAGGTGTTGCAACCATGGGAAAATCCCCATACTAGTCGAAATGAAGGCAAACCTGTTTGAGGGGGCGGGTTGACATTGATGTAGATACATGTCAGTACCGTTTTCCATCCGATATCCTCCGATTGACTGTGTATCCTATCGTTATGACTGTTTGGAAGTTGATGTGGTCATGTGGCAGACAGGAAGTTGGACCCCCAGCTGTGGACGGACCCCCAGCTGTGGACCCCCAGCTGGGCTTCGGATTCTGTTTGGTTTCCCTGCCAACCTCAAACAGGATACGGAGCCTCATGGCTGGTTGCGAAATCCTGCACCACTTTGACACCATGGTTGAAACCATATCGTTTGTTTGTAGTTTCGTTGGAGGCACACATTTATATATATATATATATATATATATGTATGTATATATCATTCCAGGGTTTCTCCTCGGTGGCACGAAACGGATTTCGTAACCAGCCACAGTATGTTGATGCCTTTAGAAGAAGCAACTTAAGCCACACGACTGGCGAAAGGCTGCGATACTTCCCCCTGCGAATGACGATCGGCAACGGCGGCTTCGACGAGGGAGAGAGTGATGTGGCGCCCCGGATCAGGGGCCTTAGACGAATCGACCCGACAAAGAATTGGGTCCCCCACACCCCAAAATGGAGGTTGTTCTGTTGCTTTCTCTTGAACACCATGCAAAAAGGGGTATCCTCAACAGAAGACACCCCCATATGTCGCTTTGGTGTTTTGCCGCGCCGAGAGGTCAGCTTCGGGTATATGCGCGAGACTCCCTACACTGCCGGCGCGGCGCTCAAAAGCTCAGAAACCAGTGGAGACATCTCTCTGCCAACTTGTTGGTTGCAAGACCTGCTTCCGGCAGCGATGCAAAACTTGGACACCGTGATGAGTATGCATAGCAAGAGAATCATGACCGACGCCACTAGAAGGAGTCTTGACCATGACACACATGGCCATGTGTCAAAACTGGAGTTGAATTTTCTGCACACCCATGTGGCAACAAATTGCAGTTCTTTGATGTGCTTTGACGCAGAGCTACAAGACCCCAACCATCCCAGCGCTACAACTTTTCAAATTCCCTTGTTTCTTTTAAGTTTTGTTGTTTGCATGCCTGTGCTCAGGTGGTGTCCAGCGGGTGAAGGTGAGGTGCCTCATTTGCAGCTAGATGGCTCTCCGGTGCGCCGCTGCAGGAACAGCTAGTCCTCTACAAAGCACACATAGGGGTGTGGCTCAAAATTAAAGAACTAGGGTTACGCAGGTTTTGGTCCATGTTTCCACTTACCTTTTGGTACCGGTTTTTTGAGCCACGGCCCTAATAGGACTCTGCGTGGCCTGTCCTGCTTTACACGACTTAGTTTGTCATTGGGTTGAAGAAATGCGGAGCACAAGGTTTGTGAATGAATTGGGCTCCAAGTTTTGGGACTTCAAGCTTCCCGCCGGGCGTTCGCCCTCTCTTTCTCTACATGAAATATTATCAAAAATAAGTATCATGGGCCTTTACATTGTATATACATGTGTTACACATGTGTATACCCTTTTTCCGTGTGATAGTTATTTACAGAATGTTTGTATATACATGCACACTTGCACATACGTTCCGTGTGATGCATTTCGCACATGCCCACGTGCTCTGCGGCACGCTTCCCTCAGGTTTGAGGTCTACGATACCTGCATCTCTGCACAGTCCTCATGCCCAAAGCTCGGCCTGGGAACCCAAGCAAAGTCGGCGGTTGGAACCTGTTTCTTTGGGCAAAACTCGCACAGCCAGGCGTGAGGGTGTTCCCTTTCTGCGATTTGTTCTAAGTTTCCCTGGCTCTCATACTTCCCTGTATTTGGTCTGATTAGCACCTTTCCTTTTGGTGATATTTTTCGGGGAATGCTAAGATGGGGGAAGCATGGGAACCCCCCATAGTTTGGGCCGCCCGAAATTAGCATCAGGAGTATCCCCAGCATATGCTTCTTGCCCCCGAAGCCCCAGACTCCCCGGACCCAGGATAAGACCGTGGGACAACCTCATTTGGCTGTGGGTCAAATGATGGAACCATGGACTAAAAGCTGCGGTCTGGTGGTTTCATTTTGACCCATGCCCATTTGGGGAACACATGATATTGCCCGTGGCTGCCTCTTTTCTTTTCTTTTTGGGGGTGTACTCGATTTGTCCTGACTTTGCTGCCAAGAGTTGTTTTGCACAATCGACTGACAATAAGAGGGGTCGGCGAGGGAAACGAGCCTCCTTGCTCGGCAATGGCAGCTTGGAACGACTTTCGTCCGTCGGCCGGCATGTAAGGTTGCACAGATACTTGCAAGGATAGATTTTCGTCAAGAGAAGAGTGACCGGGAAATAGCACGGAGATATGTCGCAGAGATTGCACAAAGGAATTGCACAAGGATATATCATAGAGATATTGTCTCAGATGAGTTGCACAGAAAGCCTTCTTGGACCGCCTTCTTGGACGAACCTCGCTTGGTTTCTCCAAGCATGACGAGCATGCACGGAATTGTGTGTGTGTGTGCTTGCTTTTCTTTTGGGGGGGGCACTAGTGTGCTCGGGGTGGCATCGCCTGAGAATTGGCCCTTGGATGACCGCCCCATTGAGAAATTGATTATCCCCACTTACTGGCAACAAGTCCCCTATGTGGGATTTACACATACCGCAAGTAGGGGACAGATGAAACGGAGATGTTGACCACACACTTCGGGTCATCCAAGTGCTTTCGGTGTCTAAGGTGTCGGCGGCCCCTACTGCTGGGACCAATGCAAGAACATCTCCGGTGGCATTGATGGGGGCGGTGGGCCCCGTAAGGCGACTGTAGGCGGGGTAGACGGATGGGTGCTTGCTTTTTGAGAGTACCTGGATCCTCAAACTACCCATACAAAAGGGGAGCTTCAACCCGTATTTTTGGGCAGAGAGTCCGGCTACCTTTTTCAGGATTGTTTCAAAGGAGCCAACACGACAGATCAGAAAACTACCATTGTTGATGTCCCCTATTTAGATGCCAGGCATTGGAATTTGCTTACACGCGCACACAAGCCTGCTGCCCAACAGACGCGAGATTTCATTAACAAGACACATAGAGTAACCTCCAAACGAGAAGCCAGTTTGGGCCCGCAGCTGGCAGCCAAGATGGAGTTGACCTGAAAGTGCGTTCTTGTTCAATCCGGCGTGTGCCCAAATCTGGGATTTCTTCGACAATATTCATTTCAGGTTGACTAAAAACATTTTCAAACAGCATGTTGTTGTCTTTCTTGGTAGACATGATAGTGTCATAATCGCATCATTTGTTCCTTTGGGGATTCGGCAACATATTTCAAGCTACCGGTTTGAATTGAGTTTTGACTTCAGCGAGGACGCCAGGAGCACGTTTCGGATATTCCTGATGGCGCAATACTTCCGGTGCAAATAGGATCTGACTTTGGCGCTGAGGACATTTAAGCAAGTCCACAATCCAGGAAGGTTTTGGCAGCGCCCATGGTGCGACTTGCATGCTGGCGTGCGGATACTCAACACACAGAGAACCCATTTTGCTTTTGCGCAAAAGGTCCAACTTTGTACCTCAAGCCTTTTGGTTGCGTACCCTCCAAGAAGGTGCTCTGACCCACCCAAACACATGCTGGTGCGATAGGGAGTGACCTTCCGAGTGGGAATGAACCGGAAGGGGATTGATTGCCTCTTTCAGGACAGCACGTGGGATTTGTTTTTTCTTGGGGGGGTCATTCTTTCCAACCTATGGGACCGGCCAAGTGAAACGCCTCAAGGCCGCATTGGGGCCCTTCCAACGGGCCCGACTCGGCTTCGAGCCTCGAGGCCAGGACGGCATCGGCTTCGAGTTCGACGCCCCGCGGAGGCCCAAGGACGTGCAGCCGAAGCACTGGGCGCGGGCGCCCGGGAAGCGGCAAGGAGATCTCAGCGCCCGACGTCGGGCGGTTCCCTGCGAGTCGTGCGGCTGAGGTGTTTGGCTTTGGATTAGAGGTTGGGCTTCGAACAATGATTCACTCTTAGCAGGGGATCCCCTAAACCCGCTTCCGAAATTTCACAATACGGTGGATGGACAAACTCCATGTCGCACAACTTTGAAGCCATGGTTGAAACCATTCTTTGTTGGTAGGATTTCGTCCATCCACAGTATCGCCAGTCAAGTAAGCCAAGTGCTCATTGACCAGGAGCTTGCTAAAGCGGTCAATGGGCCATGCCGACCGAGAAGGAGCCAAGTGTGTCCTTTTTGGGAACATAAGGGTTGCTGAACCCCTCTTTTCTCTTCAGACGGTGGCGGCTTGCCTTGCACAGATGAGTTGTGCATGGGCTTTTGGACGTGGCCAGACTGCTGTTTCATGGAATTTTCTGGAATCTAGATTTGATCATGGATGGGCTCCGTTGAAATGGTTTGACCGGTAGCCCCCAAGAAAGACCTCAACGTTCCCTTTCGGGCAAATCAAGCACATGGGTAGAGCCCCGCAGACTGACTACCTTTTAGACTGACTATCTTTTATGGGGGGGCACCAGATTTCACCCTCTGGGTAATTTTGAGCATCACCTTTTGGAAAGTCGAACTTGAATTGAGCTTCCTTTCGGGATGGTGTTTAAAGAGATAGGCTAGCCTCTCTCCAGCCACTTTGAACCTGCATACCAACCACGATGTCATGTTTGGCTCACTTCGTTCCTCATGACCTGGACAAGTGTTTGCCTGGCTGGTTCTGCAAGTCATCACTCGACGTCTGTGCTTGACGAAAGCGCCGTACAAAGTTACCAAGGTTTCGGGAAGAGTACAGGGGCCGTGCAAGAGTTACCAAAGCTTTGGGAAAAGTACGAAGAGCCGCACAAAAAGTCACCAAAGTTTGGCGTGGAATGATCGTGACACGTGTTTTGGACGGGTCCCTGGTAGTGGTCTGGAACCGAAGCGGGAGTCACATGAAATGGGAATGATCTCGCGCGTGGCGATTGGGAGAGGGTCACAAAACAAGCAGATTAACAGTTAGACATGCACAGAAACCACAAAACAACCACCAAATGCCACCAACATTGCGACCGGGGCCAAACGGATGAATTGCATTGTGGCATTTAGGGTTTTAGGGCCGCCTTAACCCAGAGCCACCGTGTCGAGTGGCAAAATGCCACCGAAAGGCCTACTATTTGTACTACAACCAGGGACCTTCCCAAACGAGCTTCCTTCAGTGTGTTTCAGGTTCCAGAAAAGTATTTGGGGAGAAGGCCCTTTATAGGTTTATAGGGAGTCCGATCAAACGGCACAAGGATTAGAAAGGGCCCCCCACTCAACTCAGGGTTCACGCCTCAAGCCTTGATCGGATTTCCCACTTGTGGATTCCTCTCGCAAGATTGCCAAAAGAGAACAACCAATTTGGTGGATTTCTCAAATCGGGGCATCTCCTTTTTCCCCAACAGCTGAAAGCTTTGGGGTCTCAGCCCAGATAGGCTCCGGGGTGGTCCGGGGCGGCCCTGAGGTGAGGTTCCACAAGGGTTCCACCAGGGTTCCAACAGGGTTCCACCAGGGTGCCACCAGGGTTCCACCACCAGAGTTCCACCAGGGTTCCACCAGGGTTCCGAGGGTTTAACGATGTTCTCGAGGGCTGCGGGGTGGTGCAAGCACTAAAAAGAGCACCGAAAAGAGCACCGCATGCTGTTGGGGATATCACCTGAGTTTATTTTACCTAGAGGTTAAGGGGGGGGGGGGGGTTTTGGGGCAGGGTTCTAATTACATTTCCCTCTGATAGGTTTCAATTATGACCTTTTAGCCCTGTGAGTTGCCTTTAGCAGGTTATCGATGCCCATGGAAAGCGTCTAAGGCCTCAGAGCTCTTTGGGCAGAGCTGGCTGCTTGGTTTTGGCGAGGCGCGGGTTTGCATGAATCCCCAAAGAAGGAAAGGAATTTCTCGCCACACTCCGGTGAATGTTGATCAGAAGTCGACATGCGTGGTTGAAGAATGGTTTTGTCTCCTAGTGCCTGGCGTGGGGGATCACTGGGCGCAGTCATGCCAAACTGGGTGCCCCAAGAGGTGCCTGAAAGACCAAGGGTTTGCTTCTGATTCAGGGTTCCACTTGTTGACTACCCAGCCATTATATTCCCATCAACGCCATTTTGATCATGCTTTCGGAAGGGCTGACGTGGCCTTCCAATTCTGCATGTGAGTTTCCCGTTTCCCTCCGCGTGAAAGACTTGGCGAAATCAAGCTGAGTTAAGTTGTCGTCACCAGAGTTCTTGTGAAAGCCGAAAGGTGGGCGGCTTTTCAATAGCCCTGGTATTTGTTGCGCCACCTTCAGCCTCTTAAAAGATGAAGATTCCTCCCAAGGCTTGAAGCTAAAGAACCCGAAGGGGACACTGGGAAGCAAACCCGACACCACAGCCCCACGCGGCTTGACTCTGAGGGAGGGCTGTGCTGGTCATTGTGGACAGTGTCAAGTCCCTTTGGAGCTCAGACTGAAATCCAAAACGCTGCCGAATTCCACAAAAGCTCTGCGAAAGCTACAATTGCCACACAAAAGGATTCCCCACAATGTGTGACTTTCGAGCTGCACGCCCAAAGTGTACTTTGCGTACTGCACTTGTTCTCAAAAGTTGCGACTTTCGAGCCGGAGCTGCCAAAGTGCGTTTCGCGCAGTACACCTAGCCTGTACTTTAAAGTTGCGACTCTCATCTGGGAAGTTGTCGCAGCAGCCACAACCAAAACCCGCCGCGAAAGCTCCGCGATGGGGATCCTTAACACAGACCTTCCCGCGAAAGTAAACCGTGAATGTGTGGCGCGAAAGCGTCGCGAAAGGTTCCGCAAAGCGCTTTGCCTCTGGTAGAGGCCTGTTTTCGGCACCTGTCAAAATGCATGCCTGATTCTAGGGGGAAACTATTTGTATTTAGTTCGCCCCTGACTTCCTGCACATCACACGCCATTGTACCCAACATGAGTACATGGTAGTGCAACTTCTTGCAGAGAGTTCCACAGCCCCCAGGATGATGCTTCACGTTCCCGAGATAACTGCCCCAGGTTCGGTTGCTTAAGCTGTTTGCAACCACGGCAAATCCTTTGCTCACGGGCTCGTCAGGCAATGGGACTGGGGTGAAGCACAAGCCTCTGGCGCAGAGTCCGAAACCACAGCCCTGCATTTCAATTCGCCACCGAAATCAGTTTGGCTCAAGCCGATTCCCAAGCATTGGCCCAAAGCCGCTCGAACATACACTTTGACTTGGAAAGGAGAAGGTCCCAACATGCTGGAAGTGTACCAAGCAAGGTGACTGATCCAAGCTCACATCGAGTTCTAATGGTTCAAGACATGCTTGCCCGGCGTCTGGGCTGCAATCGCATGAATGTGCAAACCATTGACCTGGTTTGATGAGGCAGCCAATTCGTTTGGCGCTCGGCGCTCTGAAGGCAGACGAATGAGAGGTTCTCAGCACAGGATAGCAAGTTCGCAAGGCAGCCCAAATCCTGAAGAGGTTTGCTTTAGCAGTATCCTCGACCTCAAGGACACCTTCTTCATCCTGCAGCTCGCTCTGAAAATACATGACGCGCTTGCACGACCTGCGCGTTCGAACTACGCTGCCTGTAGGTGTTGGGCACAGAGTTGACCCGCACATAGAAGTGTCTCGAACTGTCGACAGCTGAAGCTTGCCTTGCAGCGGCGCCGCAACTTTCCAGCCTTTGGCACTCGTTGGGGTTCAACTGCGTGACTCAGTTTTGGTCTAGCGTTAGATGGTGTGGATGACCTGGCGTGCAAGGTCGCTTGAAACAGGTGGTTTGCAACGGGATATGGTTGTGCTTCGAAGAGCTTTGTCGCGGTTACAGCTGACTGCCGTGGTTGGCAGGCACAATCCTTGCTCCTTTTCAGTTTGCACCGTGCAGCTGCAGCAACGGCGCAACTTCCAATCCCGTACGCTCTCCAGGTTGGCGTGCCATGATGCAGCCTTGCTCTAGCATTTCCTTCAGCTGGCTTCGCATCAAGGTATCTTGCAAGAGGTTGCTTAACATGAGATATGCTCGGGCTTGCAGGTCAAGTGTTTGGCGTTATAAAGAGCGGCAACTTGCCTTGAATTGAGAAAAGCACGGAGCCGTTCGGACGAACCAGCTTGCCTGTGCGCAGAGCATCGTGGCAAGCTTCAGCTTCGGTCAGCTGCTGGCTGTGCTCGCACCTTTTGGGTTGCACACCTTGCCTTGCAGCACAGGCAGCGCCGCAACTGCACAAGCCTTGCTGGGACGCATTTGTGTTCAACGTCCATGCAGCTTTGGTCTAGCAAAAGCTTCAATGGCTGGCTTCGCATCAAGGTTGCTTGCAGTGCTTGGAACGGGATATGTTCAGGCTTGCAGAAGAAGTTTTGCTGGGAACCTGAGCAGCGGGGTGTTGCCCTGACTTGAGAACAACATGCAGTCGTTCAGACCAGCCAGCTTGGCATCAATCACGCAGCAGCCACGTGAGTCTGCAGCTGTCTGTCTTCCTGAAATGAGCATTCTCGACATCTATCAGAGGACCACGCCAAGAACGATCGTGCATGGATGTACCTCGAAAACGGAACGCATTGGACCCAAATGTACATCAAACATGGCATACAGTCTCGAAAATTGCCCACCCCAAATCACGCCAAATCAGGCAACATGACGCTCAGTCGCGCAAATGTGCGCCATGGCGGTGGATTCCGGCCAGTCACGCAATCCGACAAATTAGATGTTGTACTTGGATGCTCGGCGGTGTCATCCAGATGGCGCGCTTGAAGCAAATTCGTATGTAAACTGACAGGTTAGAAGTCGTCGTCGTGCAACTTCACCAACCAAGATGGCGGTACTTACTACGTAGCCCCCGCTATGCTATGTGGATAGTATGTTTGCCATGCACATGGCGAGTTTACGGCAGACTTTTAAGTGCGCATAGCCATGTTTGACAGGTAGCAGAGTTAGCTAACTACGCCTGGGCGTACTTAGTAACTTTTCTGGGGCGACCTTAGTTTGTTGGCCCAGGCGAGCTTAGCAATTGCGCCAAGTGTGTTACGTGCGCTCCCAAAAAGCGCGCTAAGTTCGCCGGAGGCGAACTTAGTACGTTTGTCAGGTGCACTTACCAAGTCCGGTGTCTAAGCTAGCAAGCTTGCGCTATGTTCGCCAGACGCACCTAGCTAAGTGCGCCCGTTCGAAGCCTGCGGGCAGGACTGCGGCATAGTGACGCCGCCGATATTGTAATATATACCTAGATTCAAATGTTGTTCGGAGAGGCCTGCTAATCAACATGACCAGCAAGGAGCCTCTGCGAGTCTCGTCACTCTCTGCAGGCAAGTCGAGTGGTTTGCAAAAGCTGACAGAATGCGCAGTTTCTGCGCTTAGCAGTCACTTCGGGGTGAAAGGACAACTGCTTTACAAGTCTATGTGTTGCGAAGGGCTCCGTCGAAAGCCGAAAGGGTTCCGATTCCAAGGTTCGTGGGGTCGTAGCTGACATGCCTTTGTGAGCTTGAACCTCGGTGCTTTCGATGCCGCTTCAAGCGCCGGCCCGCGGCGCTGCCTTGACCCGAGCTACTTGCTTTCGGTTCCGAGCAATTCGACTTGCTTGCAGCAAAGGGCTGCAGGAGTTTGCGCAGCTTCTGGTGACGTTCTCTTGACAGCTGCGCAGTGTGGCCTGGGCCAATTGAGCGGCTTTTTGTCCCTCCGTTTGCCTGCGCTCAGATTGCATTCGGTGCGAGCGCAGTCCGGCAGGGCCCCTATGCTGGGCATGGCAAAGGGCAAGCCCAGTGGCATAGCACGATGTTCGAAGAGGCTTCAAAGGTATCTACCTTGGATCTCAAGCCTGCGAAGACGAACTCCGTAATTCCTGTTCAAGTGGCTGGGAGCGGCATGGTTAAAGTTGGCCAACACGTGGCTGAATCGTCTACTTCATGCTTGGGAGGTGTTGAAAAATAACCCTAGTTCAACATTCAGCATGCGTGCAGGTTTCTAGTCTCGATGGGGGACTGGAAGGTCTTGCTTCTCGCGAAGTCCTGGCCCCGCCCTTCGCAGAAGGGCCCGCGAAGGCTTGAATGTCCAATGAAGTTTAAGGCGAAAAGACAGCGCTTACTTCAAGTGGTTGCTTCAGCTAGCTTCGCACCAAAATAGCTAGCAGGCGCCTGCATGATGGATAAGCTTTGTAGTACCGCTTTCCCTGCGGATGGAATTGAGAGGGCAGAAGCGCTGCTTGGATGTCAGTGGTTTGCAGTGGTTTTGTCATCAGCAGTTGGTTTCTCGAAGCCAAACGACCTGGCTAACCACGCTTCGCTTGCCAAGCAGCGACTCCCCTCAGCGCTCGCACACCTCAAAAGCGCAGCTTAGCTGCTGGGAATGGGCTCATGTTGGCTGCCAGGAGGGCACCATGTTGCCACTGGCTTGGGCAAAGCACGCAGCGGTTGGACTCAACTTGCTGGGATTTCTTCAGAACTCTGTGGCAAGCTGCAGCTTGAGATTCAGGCTCGCAAGAAGTTGCGGACACGTTCAGGCTGGCTGGAGGAGTGTCACGTTTCCGTGACTTGAGCAAAGTACAGAACGCTTTGGCCTTATGCGGTCGGCAGACTCAGTACTGCTGCGTGCTCGCACATTTTGCGTTTGATACCTCCTGGAACCTCCATTGCTACCTTTAATTTTGCTACGAAATATTTTTGCTCGTGACACGTTCTTCTCAAAAAAAGAAACGCTCGTTTTAACAGAAAGTGCTCGAGACATCCGCGCAAATGCAATCTGCTACCTGCGATTCGAAGCATTTTCTTGAATTTGCGCTCGTTTGCGCTTTTTTGCGCCGATGTGCGCTCGTTTTGCACTTTTTTTGCACTGTTTTTGCACATGTTTGCGCCCGTTTTGGCGACAACTTGACCATGGGGAAAAAGAAAACACGGCCGAATGGGATTTCTGCCCGAATCGTCAAAAGCGCTCGGAAGCGAATGGGAGGCAAAAAGTGCTACGTCGAGTCAATTTTGGCATCGAACAAGGGGGAGGCAGAAATTTATGCTACGATGGAGGTTCCAGGAAGCTTGCCTTGAAACACCGGCAGCGCCGCATTTTTGCAGCCCTTTCGCTATGGAAGCCGTTTGACCTTTTTGAGTATCACTCGCCCAATTGGTTCTTGGGCCCTTGGGGTCCGATTGGTCTTACGCTCTTTGCTTGGATGTGAGCAGAGAGCAGTTCACCCTTTCCGCTATTGCCAACGCAGGAGCTGGAAGGCTTTAAGCTTGGCCTCGGATCGGCTCAGCTGGAGGACGCGTTCAAACCGGTAAAGACATGCGCCCCAGCGAAGCCTGTCGGAAGTTCAAGCAGAGAGGAAACAAACGACTAGGTCTTGCCTTCCATGGCGACTAGATCTCCCATGCTGCTCTGAGGCTGCGCCAATATCTTGAGCCAAAGGTTGACCAAAGGTACGACAGTGTTCAATGCGGCTTGACTTGAGCAAAGCAAAGTGCGCTTGGGCCCAACCAACTTGGCTTTGTCCAGAAGTTCGCGGCACTGGCCACAGTACTGCTGGCTTCAGTGCTGCTGCCTTGCGCGTGCACTCGCGCCTTTCGTGTTTGATGCTTTGCCTTGCAGCACCAGAAGCGCAACATTTGGCTAGCCCTTGCGCAATAGAAATCTGTCGACGAGTTTGAGCATTACTTCTTTGCTAGACTTAGGACAAACAAAAAGTCAGCGCGCAGGTGGAGTCAGCGGAGAGCCCTTGGCAAGCATTCCACTCCGCAGTGCTAGATCGTGCCGCAACACTGTGCAAACACCTTCCACAGTGCTCCGTAGAAGACTTTCCGCCATTTTCGAGGAGCTTTTGCAAGATGCGTGATCTTGCCTGGAGTTTTCCTAGCGTGGATACCAGTGCATCGATTCCCATTGTTTTGCCTTCACTGATGGTCCCCCTTTTAACCTAGATTTGCGCTCGACGCAAGCCACAGCCGCACAGGAATTGCGTCTACTGGTAGGGAACCGTGGCATTCGAGTAGATTTCCCTCGATGCTCTGAGGTTGCGCTATCTTGCTAAAGGTTGACCACACTTACGGCGTGCGACGCTTGCCTTGGACCCGAAGCGCGGCATCTTTCTGGCCCCGCCATAGAAACCTGACGATCTTCAGCGTTGCCAAGCTGAAGCCAGCCCTGTCTCAGCTTACGGCAGGCAGCCCCCTGGCCTTGAGAATGACTGAGCATAGCGGCCTTCGAACAACGCGGCGTGAATTGCGAGGGCCTTGTTGGCTACGAATTGTGGTGAATTCTTGGCTTTGCGCGTTTAAGGCCGGCACTCCTTGAGATACACTTCAAGGATCAAGTCTGGGTGTAGCATGTCCTTCAGTGGTTGGCTTCGAAACAACGTAGCTCGCAAGTTGCTGCAATGGGATATGTTCAGGCGTCTTGAAGAGCATCATCAGGAGCACTGTATGTTTGGACCTGAGCAAAGCTCGGAGCCGTTGGCACCAGCTTGGCGTGCCCAGAACTTCGTGGCAAGCCTCGGCTTTCGACTCGGTTGGCAGACACAGTACTGGTGGCCTGCGCATGCCCGAGACCTTTTGAGTTCGACGCGTGCCTTGCAGCCACGGCAGCACCTTAACTCGCTTTCACGGTGGGTGCGCTTCGCGAGAAAAATTGAGGATGTTGCTTTGGTGGCTGACTTCCTTTTTGTGAGCTACCCTGATCTTGGATTGGTTCTCATTTACCACTGGAATCCCTCTATTCCCAAAGCACCCCCATCCAGCTCTTCTAGTTTCCTCTGGTTACCACCTGTACCTGGCAGCATTTGGCTATATTTCATTCGGGAGTTCCTCAAAGTGGAGTCCTTTTGGTTCCCCAAAGCCGACCTTTTGGACCTTTTTGTTTTTCAGTTTTGGTCCTTAGTTGGTCAAGCAAGGTCCCACAAGGTTAAGCTCTTATTTCTGAGTCAGCAAGAGGCAACCAAGTTGAAGGGAACCCGACATGGAAAGGGCCTGGAGAAGCCATTTCCATGTAGGACCGCTGGCTGGGCTACGCAGAATGCCCACATGATGCGGTGGCTTATAACTGCCTTGCGCCTGGCAGTGGGGGCCCCAGCCGTGTGGACTCAGCTTGCTGCTTTGATAGGCAGGGAATGGGTTGGACTGACCCCGAGAAAAACTATCCCCTATACTTCCCCAGAATTAGTTTCCTCTTTTTTTGCTTTTTTGGGGTTCCCTGTGTTTTCCACCAACCAGGCAAGAAAAATAATAATTGCTGGGGTCCTAATTTCAGCCAAGTGTAGTTTCCTGTACTGGATCCCGGAGGTTCATTCCTTCTCCACGGAGCTGCAAGTGAACCACTTTGTAGTTGCTATGGCGACTGGATGAAGAGACCGGACCGACACCCAAGGCCTGTTTTTACTAGTTGTCCACAGGGGGGATTGCTGCTAGGTTCATGCTGCTAATTTCCCCAGATACTTTCACCTCAAAGCCCACTGCGACCTCATTGACTCTGTTTGCATGGTGAGGCGTCAGCCAATTTGCGCTGTCAGAGTCAAGCGTTGCATGATACCGCACTTTGTGTCGGAGTGAATCAGTACTCCATGCCCTTACAACAAGTTTTGCTCAGCTTGCGTGGCCTTTGAGTTATCACATTTGTTTGTCATATGGGGATGAGTAGCCCTGTTCACCAGATCTCACTTGAGCAACCTCTGGTTTGCGAGGCGTGGCATACTTGACGGTGAGAATCGGAAATTCCATCCCCGCATCCCTCCCTGCACCCGCCGCTCCCAACAATCAGCAGCAGAACCCCACCCAAAACCTCGATGGCTCCCGGAGCAAAAGCGCAACACAATCCGAATCAACACAAACCAACCAAGCTGCACACAAGCCAAGTCCCGACTCCCAACACTAAACAGGCAAAAACAAAAGACACAGAGAAAGAAACGTTACACAAGACACATGCACCTCACGGCAACGTCATCAGGCGAGGAGAACGCGGTGCCGGTGCGGCTTTTCGCGGACGGGGCCGCTCTGCCGCTGAAGGGCAGCCCAGTGAAAGCCTCCCTGGCGCTGCAGGCGACTGATACCCCACCCCCGAGAAGGAGGCTGCAAAATGCTTGGAGCCGAGTGTCCACCATAGTACGGGGCCCGGTGTTTTTGGGATTCTTTTGAGGTTGGTGGGGGGGGGGGACAGGGGGGGGGGGGTTCTCGCTTTTTCGGTGCTTGATTCACAGTATTCCACTCATGATGCAATCCGCCTGCCATTTATTTGGTGCAAGGCCTGGTAGCTTGTTACTTTCACAGAGAGGAAAACAACACCGCTTTGCTGACTTGTGGCATTGAGACATATTGTTCCTATTGAGAACCAAAGACTGCTTACATACATATTTGGTCATTTACCTCTTACATTATATTCATTCTGCATCGGAGTAGATCCACCAGGGACCTACGAGGTGTTCATTCGATTCATTGCGGGGTCACTTGGGTCCCCATCTACAACCGAAATTGTGGTAGCGAAGCAGGTTCTCCGAAAGCAGGATGTCGAGTGAAGAGGACTTCTATGCAACAGACCACCCTCAGAGGCTTTCCCTGGAGGCCGTCGTAGCATGAGTTCCCATGAAGAGACCATTAACCTTTCGATGAACGCAAAATTGCCTCCATCGTACGGCGGCCGTGTTGGGTTTCGGTAGATGTAGTGAGGGGCTGGATTACATTTACGGCTATAGAACTTGCACGCTTCTCAAGACCCGTCTCATAAACACGCAGCAATATACCGCGATCTCTTGGACAACGAGAAACTCATAGCTCCAACCACTGGGGTAGACACAGCATGTATTCCTTTACAGGTTCCTCAGTTTCTTCAATCATCGAATCGCCGAGGTAACAACGAATTCGTGACCTTTATCGCAACATTCGAGATTCTCCTGCGAAGATTGCGAGCATCTTGGGAAGTGACGCGCGCATATCAGAGAATGCGTGATCAGCATAATCAGAGAATAGTTGAATTAACAACCATGATGCAGGGTCTGCCGCAAGGAGCCGCAGCACCCATAGTGCCCCATCCGATTTACCTCGACGCAGGACTCCAAGAACATTTTGACAGATTTGTCCGAAATAAGAAACAATAAGAGCGTTCACAGGCGTTCCACTGTCAAACAACATTCTGACACATAGCTGACAGAAGGCCAACGAGAGCGATTTGTATTTTCATTGACTCTCAGAGGCATCCAGCTCCCTCAGTATACTTATCAGACCATAAAGGCCCAGCACTACGACCTCTTCATCACAACCAGAACCTCTCTTCAGGATCTGAACATCCGTCCTCGGGGGATTACGAGGGAGAAGCAGGATTCTGGGTAGAAGATGAAGAAGGAGCACAAGGCGATTGTCCATTAGACGATGAAGAAGCCTTTTGGCAGTTGGAAGACCATGGTGCTTTTATTCTCAAAGATTCCAATGTCGGACTCTCAAGTCCGGCAAGGGGCGAAAAGGCAGAAAAGGCAAGGGCGAGCGCCGAAGGGGCCGCTTTCAGCCCTTCAAGAAACTGCATTCAGGCGGCAAGGCCAACATGGCCGATGCAGTGGAGAGATTCATCAAGGCAATTGATCCATATCCTCACCGGATGAAGTACCCCGTGCAACACCATTTGCCAACGGTCAAGTCAAACCTCCAAGGTGTCCCGAGACTCAATAACCTCGCACTGAATCTCGGAAACCTTGAGCGACCACCGATAAACCCAGTAAACAAGAAGAAGGGCGACCTTGAGGAGTCTATTCTTGTCCTTTGCCTCCAAGAGGCCGACGGGATCCTGAACGCAACAATCCAGCACATCTTCCGGCAGGAGGCTGCAACGGCATCGGATGTTTCGTGAGTGGAGACGCATCAGCCAAGGTTGACCTTATCCGCCGCTACGTGGGTACCAAATCGCAAACTTGGGTCATGTCTCATGGACTTCCATCAGAATCAGAAGATACAAAGGTTCCATTAACCAAGAGCAGGATACCCCCATACTTGGCAAAACCTCACCGGCGGTGGAACCTTCAATGACGTCATCGTCAGCGCATCTGGACATGATCCAGAATGGAAACTTGTTAAGAAGACTTGTGGCATCAATGGAAGCACCATCATGTCAGGATCCAGACGAAGGGTGAGTGCAACAGGGGCATGTGCGCCGCGCGGCATTGCCGTTCCTAACGGTAGAAGTATACCATTACGAGGGCAACGCCACCGAGGCACACCTTGCAGTTATGGGAGACATGACGCAACAGCAAGAACCAGTTTGTGCAACACGCGCAGATATCTGCCGCTCATGTGGCCATGGCAGGAATCATGCAATGCTTGAACAAAGCCCAGAGTGATCCAATGGACCACCTTCGAATCACTACTGAAGTTGCAGCTTCAGAGAGACTCATATGGAAGCCTCGCTCAAACACGGTTCTAGTCCCGGCCTCGAACATGACGACTGCTTGGGAAGCAATGTCTTCCACTGGGCCAAGACCAACCGAGCGCGAGATCTTCGACAAAAGCGCACCGATGACAGACACGTACCAGAGGAAAACCAACCACTGGGAAGCATATTTCCTGACTACAGGCGAGCTCCGGCGAAAGATACAAACTCCTCACCAATGAGCAGCTTCTGCTGGCTGAAAGAGATTCAGACTGGTGCCATAGTGATGAAACGATTGAGAGAAGGAACGTGGATACTCCAGTTAGGCGTAAACCAACATTCAAATGGTGCCGTGTAGGCATAGTCAGTACCCCTTTCGGATCTCAATGTGTTTACATATTCGAGTCTTCTCGCCTCAGATTTTGAACAGCTCCGTCCTCCTCAGCGCTTGAATTTTTCGGGAAAGCGGAATTGTTTTCCATTGGCCACGGTATAGATCCCCATTTGCTGTCACTGGCTGCCGCTGCATTGCTCTGCACATTCTAGGCTTATTGAGCCGAGGGAAAAAATCGCTTTATGGCAGTATTCTCATATGAATTAGTGATGCCACGAGTGGAAAGAAGTTTGTGTCTGTTTTGTTTCTCGTTTCCACTCATGACGCAATCCGCCTGCCACTCATTTGGTTCAAGGCCTGGTAGCTTGTAACTCTCACAGAGAGGAAAACAAGACCGCTTTGCTGACTTGTGGTATTGAGACACTTTGTTCCTATTGGGAACCAAACGCTGCTTACATACATATTTGGCCATTTACCTCCTACATTATATATGCATTCTGCACCGGAGTAGACCCACCAGGGACCTACGAGGTGTTCATTCCGGGCCACTTGGGTCCCCCTATTTGCATTTTTTTTTGAGGGGGGATGGTGGCGGAGGTGGGTGGGGTTGCTGTAGGGCTCGTGTGGCCTGCTGTTTCATGTGTGCATGGGGTGGAAGTTTTCAGCAGCTGTAGGTTTTTTTTCGTATTGACGGCATGGCTTGAAGAATGACATGTGTTTGCGTACGTCAATGAATTGTGAATGCACTGCGTATCTTGGCTGTGGCTTTCAATCGGTATCTTGCTTCTGCATAGACGGTTTCGGCAAGCAAGATAGTTCCAGGGAGGTTTATTGGGAGTTGGACTCAAATGGATGCGAATGGCGAATACTTTGCGCTTGAGGAGACTAGCGTTCGCCGATAGAATGTTCTCTACAGCTTGCAAAATCGCCCATGCTAATTCTGGTACACTGTCAAGTACTACTACTACTCCTTCGCTGCAGCTCTCTGTAAAACTCTTCAACCGAGCTGTGAATTCTCCAGCGCAATGCACACAATATGCCGATGTCCTCCTGAAAGGGTTAATTCGGCATCAAAACTACTTTCATTAAGTATATTGCCCTCATCGGAAGCTATTGTTTCAACTAATTCCACATTATTGCGAGATGTTATTTCTTTAAAACATCAGTAACTTCCTTGAACTTGTGGGTGTTTATTTCCGCCAGGCACACGCAATTTCTTGCAACCGTGAAGACAAGAAAGGGGGTAGATTTCTACAGGGGCATACATTATCAGATCATTTTTTAGAATCCAACTCATCAGAGGTTTATACATAGGTTTATAACAAAAACCACGTGTGTTTGATTCGCGGCCGCATATTTTCGTTGTTCTGGTTGCTGATTGGTATACGCCAAAAAGCACATGCGCGCACAAACCACTACAACAGTCACACAACTAGCACGTCAATGACGGTCAACAAGGGGACGACCGGCCAATCCGAGCTCGTTGCAAGGCAGGCACTTGGCGAATTCCCGACCTTTTCGTTGAAGCTCATCAAGCAAGGATGTAGAAGAGTGGGTAGAAAAGGCACCACAATAGACCTGCCACCGGCCTTTGAAGCCATGTCAGAGACTAACAATGGAGAATGTGGAATTCGCTTCGTGGAGGAAACAAAATTATTCACCTCGTTCTAGTATTAGCACTCCTACTAGCGCTGGTGTGGCAGTGAATGCTATTAGTAGTCTTAGTGTTGTGGCAGTTCATACTCCTCCACCTAGTGAACTTGGCGTGGCAGTTAAGAGACTACTCGATAAATGGATTCAGCTATTTGAAAAGGTAGCATCTTGGATCTTCAACCCAAAGTGGGAGGTTCATGTCACAATCTCTTCGTAGACGGATGTTCAACCCCAAGATGGTAATGCTTCTGGCCGGGCGACATGTAACTGTGGCAATGACACGATTCTGGGCAATAGCAGTCCCCGTCACCCGGTTGAGTTTTTTGTTTTTTGAAGGTTCGTTTTTGGAGATGCAAGAGCTGCTAGATGCTTTCAAGGAACACAAGTAACATTTCTGAGCATATCACATCGCGACAACAAATGATTCCTTCCTTGGAGTCCCTTATTTGGGGTTGGTGAGTGTTGTTATTCACCCAGACAATTTCTTGGGACATCCTGATGCACAAGCTTATACACGATTTGATCAAGGGTGCTGTAAATCGCCCGGGCCGCAGAATGAATGGGCAGATTGACTTGATTTGATCTCTTCAGGCAGCTGGCAGAAGCCATGTAGGTTCATGTGGCATTGACTCACTTAGAGACTCTCAGAGATTCTTTCGACTGGTAGTAGGGTCCTCCGGATACATCCGAAGTTGACGTTACACGTTGCAGGATAGCACGCACGCATTCGTCGTGCACGAGGCAGGCAACGTCACATACCAGGCCGGATGCCCGGAGAAATTATTGATGTGTCCAAAACTAGGGAACCCCTCAAGCAGGTGCTTTTCCGTGCTCAATCCACCAGTTTGGTCCCTTCCACCTACGTATGGATGGGAAGCAGTGAAGTTGTCCGCACACGACAATACCCCCGTGTTCGCAGTCCAATGCAAAACAAAGGGTCGGCAATCAACATTATTGAACTGAGTTCTCCAAAGCTGACCTTTTATCCCTTATGCTTTCTCCTTTTGTTCCATTTCGAGTCAAGGTCTCAACCACCAGAAAGGTTAAAGTCTAGTGCTACCTTCCCCATTCTTTCCAGATCCGTACTTTCTAGAAAACCTCCTTTGAATCCCAGAGAAACGGATCCAGTTTTCGAAAAGAAGGATGGTTGGAAAGAACGGACAAGGAATCAACCCTTAGAAAAACTGACCTTTTATGCCTTATGTGTTTTCCTTTTGTTCCATTTTTGGTCAAGGTCTCAAAAACCAGAAAGGTCAAACACGGTTAGCCGCCTACCAGTGTCCGACAGGGCAAGGGCTTCTGGGACAAGGACTTCTCGGGCCGCGGCAAGATGCGGGCGTGGGACGCCGATGTCTTCACCTTCCTGCCCAAGAAGGCGATAGATCGGGCCTCCCTTACCTCGCGATGGGTGTCAGTTGGGAATGACCCAGCTGGGAATGGACCGGAAGGGGATTCCAACCCCCAAAAAATACAAGGAATGGTTTGTGGGTCAGGTAAACTCATTCCCTGCCTGTCCAAGCAGCCCATTACTTGGGGATTCTGGGGTCTCGACTCGGAGGGTCTGGATTCAATTCGAGCTTGATGCTTCCTTTTTGGGGTCTCAACTCGCAACAGCAAGAAGAATCAGTTTGTGTCGTTCTTTTTTCCGGGGGTGTGCCACTCCAACCTGTGTTTGTCTCTTCGTTTTGCGGGGTGCCACCTCACATGTTGTCTTTCAAGGTTCAGAAAGAGTCAAGGTCGCATGTGCGTAGTGCACGCGCAAAGACCAGCTCCGTTTCGTCCCTGAGGCAGGCGGCTGGGAGGCTCATGGGCTTCGAGTTGGGGAGGAAGAGGACAAGGCCCGGATGCAATCTCCCGCCGCCCGAGGTGCCGTTGGATGGGGGTCAACCAAAGTTTTGCTTTTTAGGGCTTGCTTGTGAACAAGTCAGAGGGTAATTTGGAGGACCAACGGACCCAGAAAGAGCCAGAGGGAAGGTCTTATTGGGGTGGGATTTGGGGCTCTTTTCTCTGGGAGGTGGATGGAAGTTGGCTTTTGGGGGGCCCCCGGTCCTGGAGCGGGAGAGAAGGGGAGCCGAAAGTCGGGGTCCCAGAAATGCCGATCGGATCGCCGCAAGCCATGGACTGGGTGTTTTTCTTGGATTAATGTTTCCCCGCAAGCTGCGCATGGACTGCAGCTTTGAGGGTGACAGGCTAGGGGATCCACGGAGTGGCGTCAGGAATACATCTACTTTGATGAAGACGGAAAGTGGGACGTGGTGTTCAAGCCGGTGGGTGACAGCCGGGCCGTGTATATTTAATCCAGCGCGGCACCGACATGAGGCAGATTTGGGCGTGCCCCGAAGGGGATTTGCCCGTTTTGCCCACTTTTCCGCCTTTAGTTTAGCTGTGCTTGCCCAAGGGGGCAGCAGGCAGGAGGGTGAGGAACTCTTAACAAAGAATGCTGCCGGGCAATGAGAAGCTTGAGGTGGCTGCCCCTCAGAGACCATGAGTTGAGCAAAGTGGACGGCCTTTGCAGTGCCCGAACCCCCAAAAGGGCCACCTTATCGGATGATTCTACCAGGCTCAATGAGGATTATAGTAGAGCCCATATAAACCTTCAGAACCAGAACCAAATTAGTTAGTAGAAGGTCACAGGGTTGGTCGCTGCTCAAATGAGATGGTTTCCCAAATTGAGAGGGTCACGTGCAGGACGTTGCGTTAAGGGACCCAGTTGAAGTACCATGCCGCACCGTCGTGGCTCAAGTCGACCTGGGAACATGCGTGCACGGCAACAAGCCAATGACTCCAACAGCAGCGGGCCGATTCACGCGTTGATGTCCAGACACACGCCTTTTCAGAGGAATACATCTCATATGGACAGAACAAGGCGTGTGTTGGGCTTGGGAATGGTGTGCGGATATGGAGAATCTGGCTCACCCAGATTTGCTTTGTTTCCCAGAATTGTACAACTAACTTGTTTCTGCCCGAATTCCTTACCCGAAGTTCCTTGAACCCAATCCCACTTACTGTGCAAGGGCCAGTTCGGCGCAGATGGACACAGCCCGTCCGGCGTGACGCGCGATGGCGGTGAGGCAGGGCTTGCGGGTGGCGTTGACGAGTCCTTGTGGCCTTCAAACCTTTGGCCTCCACTCCCTGGGCCCAAATAGCTCGAATTGACAGGGAAATGCTGGACTCTTGACGTGGAAGCTCCTCCTCTCTTTTCCATCTCACTATCCCTCTCCATTCACTGCATCTGGTGAAGGAATGGATGGAGAAAGAGATGGTGAAAGAGATATCGAGATGAAAGATGATTAGATGGCATTTGGACGGATTTATGAAGAACTATTTGATCCGTCCCATGCCTCCATTCATCTGTCTATCTCTTCATCCTTTCCTCACTCATCCTCTCTCTCACACCTTTCATGTCCCTTCACCATTCCATCTTGGAAGCAGACGCCATGACGGTGAGGAGTGGAGGAACAGGGAAAGAGAAAAATAATGATGAAGGGAGGAATGGCCGTCCTGAACCAACTCACGGCCATTCACTCACCCAACCTCTTCCTCCTTCTCTCTGAGATAGAGGCTGGGGGTAGAGTTTGGAAAGAATTAGGAAAGGAATGACAGATGGAAGAATGGGCGATGGAAGGACATACATGCCATATCTTCCTTCCTCACCCAATCTCTTCATCTCATTCCACTCCCTTCCTCGCTATCATTCCCTTCCTAACACTAAGACTCGGGACTTTGGCGACAGACAGGAGACGGAGGGACCAGATGGTCGTGAGTGACAACAGTGCCGTTTCCAGTAGCGGAAAGGCAGAGAGGAGTTGGAAATACGGCTGGTGAAGCGTGGAAATCCAGGGATGGAGCCAGAAAAAGGTGCGCAGCGAACCCTGTTGATTCTTTTCTTTGGAAATAGTACCCCTAAAACCGCGGGTTTGCTATTGTCTCCTTTTTAGGCTCAATCTATCTCCCCCTTTCACACGCGCCCGCTCCCGGTCCCAGGCTGCTCAAGGAGTTCGACCTCTTCAGGAGAGCTGCTTTGTGGACGGACGAAATCTTGCGCCAAACCCTGGAATGATGATTCCCCTGAAAATACCAACAAGAAAGGTTTCCCATTTCAAAGTGGTGCAGGATGTTGTCCGCTTTGGATTGGTGGTTTGGAGATTTGGCCCCTGGTTCTTGTAGAGGGCAATTTCGGAAGTCACGCCTGACCTCCAAACCAATGAAAGGGAAGCTGAGTCCTTGTGGAAGCTTCGTGTTTTGTTTGTTGGGAGATCGGGGTATGCTACAGTTGCTTTCAAATGGCCTGCTTTCAATCGGCCTGTCTACTTTCACGAGGAATGTCAACTTTCGTGACAGGAAAGTGAGGCATGCCAACTCCTCCCAACAAGGATTCGGCAGAAAGAAGACTAGTTGAGGCACCCCTGATGAATACGTTTCTTTCGGTCAGTTAGTGGATTAAGTGGACAAGAGTTCCACTTGGACTTGTTGACCAGGGATATTCACCAAATGGGACAGTCAAGAAGCCAAAAGACGCATGGCGACGTCAAGAGGGAACCTGAACAGTGGTTGCACATGAATCCCCAACTTGCTGGTGCTCAGCAGGGAATGAGGGAATCTAAACCATTTTTTGTGGTTTCCTTTAAGGGCACTGTTGGGTTCATTCCCACATTACTGAGCACCGGCAAGCCAGACTTTCCTCCAATTCGGGTCCCATTTCGGGTCCCGCCAAGTCACCCAGATGGCTCCCTCGGCTCGCGAAATCCGCAGACAGGAAGCTCGCGCCAGAGCACCAAAAGGCGCCATCGAGCGGCCCCGCCTGGGCGGTACGGTACCTGTGCTTGGCGCCTTGGACGATGAATTTGTGTTGGTTGGATTCGTATGTGTGTTGTTGGTTTGTTGTGCTTGTTTGTGTTTCTGTGTTCTTGATTTGTTGTGAATGTTTGGTTTGTTTGTTATGTGTTTGATTTTAAGTGCACGTGAATGGGTGGGAGGCCATTGTTTATTGGCATCTAACAACTTCGTCGGTAAATGGACATGCTCTGCCCAGCTGATCAATGAAGCTGAGCTGGAGAACAATATATGCAATGCAGCAAGACTGTTTGGAAGCACTCATGATCACACACACATATTGACTAATGTCTGACGAGCCGCCAAAGTCTATGTTGCCAATTCACTGGTCGAAAAGCTAATCAACCATTTTACAAACCAACACATGACACGCGTCAACAAGTCCGTATGTTGTTCTTCAACAATAAAAAAAAATATCACAACCAAACCTGTATAAAGATGGTCCACCCAGAGCCTTGCAACGAGTCAAAAGGGCCGCACGCCGCACCCGTTTATGGCTGGACGAACACTTGCTAACTTTCACACACCGACACACCCAGGTTTTGATTATGATCAAACGTTGACAGCGTCAGCAAAGTAGTTGCAAGTTTCTGGACGTGCCCAGTCTCCTTGTCTAAGAGGAACATGTTTTCTGAAAGGAGCCTTTGCACTTTCACGGTTCCTGGTGGGAGGGTAATTAGCTAGTCAAATTCTGGCCTGAAAACCAGTGGCTTCTTTCTCCCAGTGCTTCACGTTAGACCTATAGTAGGCAACCAGGGGAAACCATGTAAAACGAGATAAGACACCCTGCTAAGCACTGCCAGGAGTGCTTGTTGTCCAACTAGCTGGTGCCGCATTCAATGTGTGGAGGTCCTACTACGCCCAACAGGAAGCAGTGGCTTGCATGGAAGCACTGGGTCTCTTTGGGGATTTCTCAAGTGGTCCCTTAAATGGTTGGCGTTGTTTGGTTGTGTTTCAAATACCAACTGAAAGGAGGTTCTTTCCATTTGGATGAAACCCTTGGCTTATTTTGTTCTTCTGAGGTGCTGATCCAGGTGCTGCTGCTGTCCGAGTGCGTCACCTACCTGGTGCCAAAGCACAAGCAATCCTTCGACATCGCCTCTCGGCTGCCTAAACGGAGTGGCATCGCGGCTGGGCTTGGCCTTGGGCCGCTCTGAATGTTGACCCGTGCCCTGGCCAGAGCAATTGGCTTGATGAAGGCTGCAATGCTCATCCACCCTTGCGGCTTTGTTTGGAATACCCGTAGAGCCGGCTGATTGCCGCTGGGCGGAAGTTTCAACAAATATATAAGAACTGTAGTTAGTGGCCGCTTGATGCGTCTCTCTTTCTCTTTGTCATATTGTGCATGTTTTTTTGTTTTGGCATACGTATGTATTTCGTTTTGTTTATTTGGTTTCTTTCTATCGTTATTTAGTTATTTGTTTATCCCTCTGTCTGTTTAAGTCTATATTATGAATGCATGTCCTTTGCATATTTCTTTGTGTATCTAGTCATTTTGTCTATCTACGTATCTATTTGCCTAATCTATCTAATCTATCTATCTATCTATCTATCTATCCAATCTAATCTAATCTAATCTAATCTAATCTAATCTAATCTAATCTAATCTATCTATCTATATATTATACATCTATCTATCTATCTATCTATCTATCTATCTATCTATCTATCTATCTATTTATCTATCTATCTATCTATATCCATCTATCTATCTGTCTGTCTATCTATCTATCTATCTATATAATCTATCTAATCTATCTAATCTAATCTAATCAATCTAATCTATCTATCTATCTATCTACCTACCTACCTATCTATTTATGTTCCTATCTGTCTATCTATTCTATCTATTCTATCTAATCTATCTAATCTATCTAATCTATCTATTGTATCTAATCTATCTAATCTATCTAATCTATCTAATCTATCTAATCTATCTAATCTATCTATCTAATCTATCTAATCTATTTATCGAATCTATCTATCTATCTATCTATCTATCAATCTATCTGTGTCTGTATGTCTGTCTGTCTGTCTGTCTGTCTGTCTGTCTGTCTGTCTGTCTGTCTATCTATCTATCTATCTATCTATCTATCTAATCTATCTATCTATCTATGTACCTATGTATATATCCATCCATCTATGTATCTATAATTTTATTAATGTATCTATCTATCTATCCATCTATCTATTTCTTCTATCTATCTATCTATCTATCTATCTATCTATCTATCTATCTATCTATCTATCTACCTACCTACCTACCTACCTACCTACCTACCTACCTACCTACCTACCTACCTACCTACCTACCTACTTCTCTATCTATCTACCTAATGTATCTATCTATCTATCTATCTGTCTGTCTGTCTGTCTGTCTGTCTGTCTGTCTGTCTATCTAATCTATCTATCTTTTTCTCTATCTCTCTATCTCTGTCTTTCTATCTATCTCTCTATCTCTCTATCTGTCTGTCTATCTGTCTGTCTATCTATCTATCTATCTATCTGTCCATCTATCTATCCATATTTTTTGTTTTGTTTTATTAATCTATCTATCTATCTACCTACCTACCTATCTTTCTATCTAAATCTATCTACCTGTCTAATCTATCTATCTATCTATCTATCTATCTAGCTATCTATGTATCTATCTATCTATCTATCTATGTATCTATCTATCTATCTATCTATCTATCTATCTATCTATCTATCTATCTATCTATCTATCTATTTGTCTGTCCGTCTGTCTGTCTGTCTGTCTGTCGGCGCCTGGCACAACATCTGTACCTGACCTCGTGAAAGTGCCGCGCCTGCTGCGATTTCTGTACCTTACCTTGCGAAAGTGCTGCGCCTGCCGCGAAATGTGTACCTCACCTTGCAAAAGTGCACAATAAGCACCTGTCCTTGCGAGAGTGCTGCGACTGCCACGAAATGTGCACCAAACCTTGCGAAACTGCTGTACGTGCCACAAAATCTGCACCTGACCTTGCAAAGCATGCAACGAATTTTGTGCTTCACCTTGCGAACGAGCTGATTTCTGTTCCTGTCTTCTGTCAGAGAGCTAGCCTTCAATTAGTCCTTCAATTAGTCGCGAAACGGAAGTTCCTTCTAAACTTCCTTGGATAGTTAAGGGCTTCATTTAAGAGCCACCATGCTGTGCCCAAACACGGTGTCCCATTTTGTTCGTTTCGGTTTGCATTGCTTACCAAGGAGGTCTTGTTCTGGCTTGCAATATAGTTTCCTGTCGTGCACACACGTACATCCTCCCAATCGTGAATCGATTGTTGAACAGAGCATAGGGATTCCCAAGGAATTGGGGAACGAGCGCAGCGGTCTTTGAGCGAGTGAAATTGGAAAGACTTCTGATGTCCCAAGCCAATCAAGTCTGGGACGGAGGTTTCAGCGTGCTCTCTTGAATGCACGGCTGTTATCAAGAGTAGTCCACCTGATCATTTTGGAATTCTGCAGCAGCCATTTGGTGTTTTCTCTAGTGTGGCATTTTCTCTAATTTGGCAAACCTCTAAAATGGGTGGTTACCGTTTGCCTGCAAACATCCACTGAAAGGGTACCCTCACAGAACAGCACCCCCATCCATCTATATATGTTTTAGCATTGTGTTGTTAGCGTTTGGAATTCAATCACCAACAGAGGATTGATGTCCTTTCCGGTGTGTCGAGCGTGGCAGTGGGCCCTTGCTTTTTGCCCCTTTGACCATAGAGCAGTTTGTGAATGTGTCGATACTGCAGCTGCCCTACAATTACGAGTCAGGAAAAGGAGATTCCCCCAATCTACCGTGATGCAGTGATGTACCATAACTTTTTTGTAGTTGGATTGTGTTGGTTCACTTGCATTGCAGTGGACGGACGAAATTCTGCACCACCTAAGAAACCCTGGAATGATGATTCCCCTATAAATACCTACAAACAATGGCCTACCATGGTTTGAAAGTGGTGCAAGATTTCGTCCATCCGCATCGGAATCCATTTTGAGCTGAAATCCGGATGAAGCTCAGGACATGCAGGGGCCCATGCAGCTGGCTTCGCCCAGGAGAGGTTGGCTTCTGCTGGGCTTTGAAGGGTTGCTTTTGTTGGGGCTGTTGGCGGGCTGGGTAGTTTGCTTTGCGTTGGTTTGCTTGGTGTGGTTTTGTTGTCAGATGTTTCTTGATTTGTATTGAATTGTAGGTTTGGTTTGGTTTCATTGGTAGACTTGGTTTGGTTTGAATTGGATTGGTTCAGTCTTGTGTGTTTCATCGGTAGGTTGCGTTGGTTTGATTTGGGTTGGGTTGAGCTGTTGGAATGGCGTTGTTTCAAAGTGGAATGGCATGACTTGCGAAAGTCTGTGGCTTACCGTCAAGATTTTGTGAGAAGCACCGCCTAAAAGAGGCAACTCAGCCACATCCCAGACTCTTCAGGCGTGATCGGATTCTCCGAAAGGAAGTTGACGATTCGCCATGTGTCAGGCAAATGCGAGTGATGCTGGATGTCACCGTGCATGACTTCCCCTGCATAGATCTGAGCTTGGATTACCAAGACGTCCGGGCCCAAGACTTTGACTTTGAGGCCATGCGCCTTCTGATGTCTTGGAAGTTAGGTTTTCACAGGAATTACTTGGAAGGATTCCATGTTCCTGTCTATATACTACCCCAAACCAGACAGGCCTAAGAGGAAAACTGCTGGTTACCCAGCGGTATCTGCAGCCATTTTCCCATCTTCTTGACCCATGGGGATGGAGGGCCGCGAGATCCCGTGGGTCGCGTCGTTCGAGGAGCTCTGGCTTTTCGTAGAGAGATTGTCTTCCTAAAATGAAGGAGCTGTTTGCAGGTGGACCCTTGATTTCCCAACGCAGCCCAAAGTATGAACCCTGTCTTTAGGAGGGGGGGGGGAGGGGTTGGGGCTTTTAGTGGGAGTTGTGTTGGCAACCCTTCTTTGTACGTAAATGCCGAAAAGCCACCACCAGCAACTCTGATACCCATCAACCCGCAAAACTGATAGGGGCCTACTCAAAGTCGATGCCTTGGTCATATTGCCTGTTACTCATGTGGCAGAAGCAAGCCGAAGCGATGGCAGATGCCGGAAGACCCAGTGAAAGCGGCGGGTGGGCAACTATTGGTCTATTAGTAAGTGGCCTTGTGCATGAACAAGCTTGGTGCAGAGGAAGGTTTCTTGGTGTGTGCCTTCGGGAATCGTATCAATGCGTTTGGGTTTCTCCTAAGCGGATTTCGCCATCGTCTTTGTCAGTTTCGGGTTGTCTTCGTGACTGCAGGCCATGGGCAATCGCCAGACCGACATTCGATCTGGGGTGGTCAAGCAGCGATTGAAGCCGGATGGGACGCCAGTGGGCGATGTGCTCAAGAACGACCCTTGGATTCAAAATGGGTTAGTCTCAGCAGATAGGGGATCCCGCAAACTTGGTTGGCATCCTGTTCGTGTTCTATTCGAAGCAACTAAAAGTGGTTTCCCTCAAAGACACGCCCAAGCCGAGCTGATTCCGGAGCACGCCACTGGTGTTTTTTGTTGGAAGTCGTTTGTAGGCTGCGCCAACCGAGGACCCCAAGACTGGGTCCAACAGCGCGCCGCTTGGATAAGATTGAGTGAGGCCATAGCAAAACTGGCCAGCTGGATGCGGCTAAACGAGTGCCACCCGCTTGTAAAAATTGAGGAAAGATGTATCGTGACCTGTGGCGTATGTGCTGATTTGCAGCGTTCGCTTCCAAGGTCGAATCCCAGCATTCGGAATGGCACGGGCAACGCGACGTGCGGGGAGACTTCACTTGAAATGACATGGTTTTTGTGTGGCTTACTTGGTTGGTGCATTCATTGTTTTTCTTACTTATTTCTTTGCTTATTTGTTTCTTTGTTTCGTTCTTTCGTCTTTCTTTCTTTCTTTGTTGTTTATTTATGAATTTGTTTCTTTCTGTCATTAAGTGTCTTCATTAAATTGGGTATGTTGTTTCCTGGTTTATTTGTCTTTGGTGCATTGGTGTTCTTTCTTTCTGTCATTTTGTTGTCCTTTATTTCTGTCTTTCTGTCTGTCATTATTTCTGTACTTATTGAACCATTTATGTGGTTCTTTTTTTTGTATTCCTTTATTTTGTTTGTTCTTTCCCTGTGTCTTTCTTTCTTTCTTTCTTTGGTTGTTTCTTTCTTTCTTTCTTTCTTTCTTTCCTTCCTTCCTTCCTTCCTTCCTTCCTTCCTTCCTTCCTTCCTTCCTTCGTTCTTCTTAATGTCTTTCTTTCTTTTTTTTGCATGCTTCGGTTGTTCGTTTTTCTTTCGTCTGTGTGATTTGATTGTTTTTGTTCGCCTGTTTGATCTAATTGATTTGATTGATTGATTGATTGATTGATTGATTGATTGATTGATTGATTGATTGATTGATTGATTGATTGATTGATTGATTGATTCATTGATTCATTGATTCATTGATTCATTGATTCATTGATTCATTGATTCATTGATTCATTGATTCATTGATTGATTGATTCATTGATTGATTGATTCATTGATTCATTGATTCATTGATTCATTGATTCATTGATTCATTGATTCATTGATTCATTGATTCATTGGTTGGTTGGTTGGTTGGTTGATTGATGGATTCATGGATTGATTGATTTGATTGGTTTGATTGATTTGACTGACTGATTGACTGACTGACTGACTGATTGATTGGTTGATTGATTGATTAATTGATTGATTGATTGGTTTGATTTGATTTGATTTGATTTGATTTGATTTGATTTGAATGATTGATTGATTGATTGATTGATTGATTGATTGATTGATTGATTGATTGATTGATTGATTGATTGATTGATTGATTGTTCGATTGATTGATTGGTTGGTTGTTTGATTGATTGATTGATTGATTGGTCAATTGTTTGATTGATTGATTGGTTGGTTGATTGATTGGTTGGTTGGTTGATTGATTGATTGCTTGATGGATGGATGAAGGATGTATTTATGGATTTGATTTGATTTGACTTATTGATTGATTTGATTGACATGACTTGATTTGATTTGATTGATTGGTCAATGGCTTGATTGATTGGTTGGCTCTTTGATTGATTTGTTTGATTGATTGGTTGGTTGATTGATTGATTGATTGATTGATTGATTGATTGATTGATTGATTGATTGATTGATTCAATGAATGGATGGACGGATGGGTGGATCTTGTTCGTTTTTGTGCAAGCGCGACTGAGTTTGGTTGTTGTTTGCGCTTCAGGACTGCTACGGCGCTTTGCCCGAGGGCGAATGCTGCAATACATGCTCGGATGTGTTGTACGCTCCGTGGCCGCAAAGCCGTTGGGTCTTCGCGATGGCTGAGATCAGTTTACCTATGAAGGTTCTTTTGAAGGCATGTCCGGTTTCGGAGTTCGGAACCCCACAATTTCTTCCTGACAGCAGATAGGTCAAACGCAGAATTTGTCGGAGCTTGTGAGCAGTGCTTTAATTTCAGAGGCAGATGCGATCCTCACATTGAAGCCTTATCAATTGTTGACATCTTGTCATTTGGGTTTGTGTCAAGCATACGCGGACTTTCTGGTTGATGGTCCTACCAAAACCAGAAGGGAACGAAGCTTCCTAACTTTGACACACAGGTGCTTGTTGAAAATCAATCACCCTGAGGATGGTCCTCATGTTGAAAACCACCCAAATAGAATTGCTCAATGGCTTGTCTCTCGTTGTTCTGTTTAAAGCGTGTGTTTCTTTTGTTCCTATCCCTTAGTTGGTGGTTTGGATTGGTGGTTTGGGCATTTGAACCTGGTTCATGGGTAAATGGGAAGAACCACCCCCAACCAAGCCACCGGGCTCCAAACCGCCAGTCTGTTGGAAGCTGGTGATTTGGAGCACGGCTTTCGGCTTCCTTCGGAACCACCGAGGCCTATCGCCTGAAGCGCTGGGCCTTGCCGCGCATTGCCAGAGGCCCAGATACGTCGGCCAAGCTTTTCCGTGGCCTTCTGGCATCTTGTGATTTTCCCGTTGCGCTTTTGGGTTTCTTTGTTTTTGCCTTGCGACCAGCATTGACGTTTTGTGGGAGGTCTAAGTCTGACCGAGATTGCAGAGGCCTCGGATCTGGGAGCGAAATAGCCACGTAATTTTCCCAAGCGGAAATCAGCAGGGTATGGCGTATTTAATTGATCCCAGACCCCCCATTTCGCACCCAGTTTTGCAGGGCGAAATAATTACCACCATTCTACTTATTATTTAACGCCTCTCTCCATTCCATGTTGCCATGCCGTGAGGGTAGATAATTTGAATGGGATTGCGGGGTGCTGAACCTTACGTTATACTGTGGATCAACGAAATCTGTAAATACCAACAAACAATGGTTTCAACCATGGTTTCAAAGCGGATTTTATGATTTCCATCAACCTCCTTGCAACGGAAGACAAGGAGGGGCTTCCAGTTGCCTGAAAATCCAGAATCCTTGGCTATTCAAAGGTAATCCTGAATCCTTGGGTTACACGAGGATTTGGTGACTTGTAGCTTGTAGTGGCTTTCCTGGGATTCTGGAAAACCGGATTGGCCAACCCTCGATTTTCAACAGCCAAGTATCTGGAGAACCGGTTCCCCTTTTCCCTTTTCCGCCCAATGGAGCCTCCAAATGATTTTTGTTTGCGTCGTGGGTGGCTCCTCATTTTTGGAGTGCGTACCCGCTTTTTGTTCGGGGCTTTAACGGGAAACCAAAAGGAAGCCAAGCATTTGTTTGGGGGTCCAAAGCCCAAAACCAATATATCCGTCATTTTTCTATCAGGGTCACTGAGCAGATGGGATGAACTCTCTGCGGTCGAGAGTGAGAAACTTGTTTTTTTCCTGTTCCACTTGGCGGGCCAGTAATCCATCCCTTGGCTTTGCCAATGGGGAGATGGATGAGGATTGGACAGCGCTTCTTAAACTACCCATGTTAAGCAGCCTATAAACGAGAAAACAACTGCTTTTGGCATCAGCCGTTTCAACTCTTCAACCCAAGCAACGCCAAAATGAATCCAGTGTTGTGGGTGACACCCCCAAATGCGGACGTAAGCTTCAGGTCGCGATTCACTGGTTGGCGTTCTTAGCATTTGCAGTGCTCAGGAGAGCATCAGGCAATGCCAGCAGGACGGCACCGCCAAGTCAGCGTGGCTTGGAGCGCGCTGGCGCGGCTTGGGTTTTCCTCGTGTTGAAATGAGAAGATGCCCTAGCATACCTAAAAGGGGGGGAGACCTCGTTTGAGAGATCACGTGACATTTGCAGCCCCATCCCATCTGGTTGCCAGAACCCAAGCCATGTAGCATGTGTTTTGGTAGTCGGATGCAAACGCCTGAAAGAGGTGGTGCATGGGCATGGGACGCTGACAGGTATCAACCTCCTCAGATCGCACACCTGAAGGACCCGCCCAGCGACAGACACACACACCAGCGGAGCGGGTGGGCGAGGCGAGCAAGATGTACATGTCCTTACACTTCCTTTTTTGGAGGCAAGCAATGTAAGCTCAGGCCAATTTCAAGTGAGTTTCTCTTTCGGTGATGATTCAAGGTGACAATACCAGGATTCCTGTGTTTCTGCCCTTGCAGGATTATAGCTCCGACGACTACTTCAATACCTTCAGAAAGATTGGAAGCCTCTCTTCGCCGGACGGGAATGAGGCGCGCAGCGGCGCAGTCGATGCTCCCATTTGAGTCGAGCCGGTTGGTCATCTTTCTATATAGGTGGTCCAACTAGGTGTTATTAGGATTATAGTAACCATCTTGGAATCCACCCACCCCACGCACCCACCCACCCCACCCACCCACGCACCCACCCACCCACCCATCCACTCACCCACCCACCCACCCATCCGCTCAGGCTCGAATCACTGCACCTCTGAAGCTGAACCTGAGCTTGAATTTGCGCCCTGGCCACATTTCCCCTTCGATTCCACGCGCGGAGGCCGGAAGGCAGGAGCTCCCTTAGACAACCGAACTCATCTCCAAGAACCCCTAAGAGGGCAATCTCTTCTTACTCAGAACAAAGATCATCCCAAAAAGACCGTTGTTCCGGAACCCGGAAGAGGGGGGGGGTGGGGGGCAATACAAAATTGGAAAGCCGAAGTTGAAACCAATACTGGGATCATCTCACGATATCTCCCACCGACACCTTCCAGTCTTTTTAGCACCAAGCAACCCCAAACCTGGAACTCGGGACCTCATATTTTCCTTCGGGGGGGATTTGTTTTATTATTGGGGGGTGGGGGGGGCAGGGGGAAGGGATTAAATCTATTTCGACAAAGGCCCACGCTCACAGGCAGAGGGCCAGAGCCAAGATTAGCATCGGCAAAAAGCAACTTACGCCATGATGCAAATGCAGACCCGGAGTCACCACAACTCGGGACTTTCGAAGATTCGGGGAAGCCCGTGAAAGCCCTCCCAGCACAGTAAAGCCATTCACACACACACACACACACTCGCAAGCTGCAGACAGGAAGCAACCATAGTTAATGCATCCGCGCGGACCAGGCTCGCGGAAGGCACCCTTGCGGAAGCAGAAGGTGTCGGGGAACTTGCCATGTCAATGAAGATTGCGAGAATTTAGAACCGCTCAATATCTTTTCACATTTTGCTGAGACCCTGTCCCAACATGTTGGGAGGGAAACCTTGCAAAGGTCAGCTCGTTTTTCGTTGTGTCCCTCAGCCTCACTCTTGGAGATTCCTGCGTCCAAGGCAGAACATCACCTTCAAGCCTCTGAACTTGAAGCCCTTGTCCTCCATGGATGACGACTGGGATGACTGGGACTATGACTATGACTTCGACGACTCTTTGGTGCATTTTGCCAAGTTGGATGTTAGGACTGAACTGTTTGCCAACGAATTTGGGTTGTCTTTATTAAACCACTAAAGGTTATTCACTTTGAGCAGAGCAGATTTCGCAACCGAGGACTGGTATCACCCGCTGCTGCCTGAGTTGCCCAGAGCTGGCCGAAGATGTGTTCTTCGGGTCCGATTGATGGATTTTGGGCCAATGTCTGCCCTCTTGAGACGCCAAAAGCAAGCGGTGTGGTCCTGGGTAGACCATAATTGTATTCGGCCCGCCTCCAGGTTCTGTCGTACTAGGGAACCTCCCCCTGTAAGTGAAGCATTCATGGAAAAGGCCTTCCGGTCAGATCATAGCAGTGGGTTCCCAATTTACGTGTCGTTTTGTCGCAATGCCGCACTATGAAGACATCACACAAAATCGCCGTGCTTTGCTTTGATGCAATGGCTGGGATGTTCATGTCCCCAGACGGAAAGTCTCGAAATGGGGCCCCTGGAGTTTGGCTTCATCTTGCTTTACTTGGTGAATCATCCACCTAAGGTGCGCAGTCCTGATCAATCCATCCCAGCAAGGCCAGCGTTCCCTATGTTTTTCATGAAGCCCACACCACCCCTACCAAGGGTAACTCACCTCAAAAAGGACCAAGAGGTGAGGTTCACTTCCCACCAAGGGAAGTCTAGGGACCTCTGAAAGCCACGAATCTGCGCGTTTCCGAGGTCTGGCCGCAAGGACTGCCTTAGGGAACCCTGCGTGCTTTTGGATCTCGAAATGCTGGAACTGGAAGTGGAAGTTGTCAAGGGAAACCAACATAAGTCAAAACACCGGTTCCTGTACTCAGGAACAAACATGGTCACTGGCCAGGTAAGGATCCTTAAGAAGCATTAGGTTCCTGTTGAGGGAACCATGACCATAGGACATACTGTGGATGGTTGCCAAATCCATTTCGCACCACGAAATGAGACCATGGTCATGGTCGAAACTATTATTTGATTGTATTTATACAGGGGAATCATCATTCTAGGGTTTCTCAGGTGGTGCGAAATGGATTTCGCACCCATTTACACTATGAACCCAGGTGACGTGGCCCTGTCTCCGTCTCAGCTCCTGCTGCGGCGCTTTGGTCCCTTAAGCTTAAGGGCTTCCCCTCGAAGGGGTGGGTCCATCAGGGGTTCAGGGAGATTCATGCTCCCATGTTGGACTTTGGGACAAGCAAAGCCATGGTGAAATTCCGAAGCTGTGTGGGTATGTGGAAAATGGTGTTGTTCCTTCTAGTTTCCCTTAAGGCGAAGAGGGTCTCAAGCAAGCACACACCCGCGACAAGAAAGGCCGCCGCAGCTTCCTTCAGGAGAAAAACAAGACGCTGTCCTGGCCAGAGTGCGTGAGGCCGGCTGGCAATCCACACAATCAGCAGGCTTTGAGCTTAGCCAAAAAGCGAAGCGCCCATTCTGGATAAGGGGACCCCGAAATTGTGGTTTCCCTTTGGTTTCCCTTTAGAACAACCTCAAAAAGGTATTGCCAAAAAAGACAACCCCATCTATTGTCAAATTATTGAATGAAATTTGAACGAACTATGTTGTGAGCGGTGGATCGGTGCACAGGCGCAATGTGGTGGTCAACGGATACAACATGGGGGAAGCTCTCATGGAGGAGCGGCACGGGTGCTGTTCGCGAGCGCGATGAGTCAGGATCACCGGAGAGCTCCCTTTGTCCATGGGCCCATGGGCCTTCCATCAGTTTCTATATACCTGGAGTCTCCATGACCATTTCTAAAAATGGGTCCATGACCCCATGATTTGGGTAATGACCCATTTTCTACTGGTCATGGAGACTCCAGGTAGGGTGGAATTTTTGGGCATGCCCTGGGGAGGTATTGCGCTGTGATTTGTTCTGTGGTTCAGCAGGGCCGATCGCCGATGTTGGGATATCTTCAGGATGCGCATTGTTTTTCCTTTTTTTTCTTCCTTTTTTTTCTCCCCCGCTTTGCTGCTGTTTTTCAGTTAGGCAGGCTTCCCAACGTGAAGCCAGCCATGAAAAAGGACGGCAAACTGCGTTGTGAGGTCAATCCAAGCACAGAGAGAGAGAGGGAGTTAGAGAGAGACACATTCATGCATGAATTGAACCATTTCAGAGGCATTTTGGACACCCAATCAGTTTGAGCCACTGGTGATGGACGAAATCCGGCACCTAGTTGATCGTTTGTCCGATTCAGATCTGTTTTCATCCATCACATCCACAGTAGGTAACCAAAAATTTACATGACCTTCTGTAATGGTATTTGGAAGCATGTATTCCATCAGCATTTGTCCAGCGGCCAGAGGCTGTCTTCAGTGGGCCGGACGTGCACCGGACGTGGCCCGATGTGTGAAAATCATTCGGCTCAGGACCTGGTGCCCTTCGGAGCCAAGGCGGTGGGAATGTTTTGTGGCACCCCCCCCACCAAAAACAGAAAATCAACGCTCCTAAGCGGGCCCCCTGTCAAGCACTACATGCGTATTGAAACAAGGGGCCCCGCCAAAACGGTGGTTTTGACTTTGGTGTCCCTCGAAAACCACCCCAAAGGCACGGTCAAAAGACACACATTGACACACACTCCATCCCACATACTGGGGCTAGTTAAAAAAACCAACCATGCGAAAGTGGAAAGGGCCCTTGCCAGTGGTTGGTGTGATTTGCCGAGTTGTCCCCTCTTTCTCGAAGCTTTCACTCGCTTAACCCAGAAGAAGTTCTTGTCTTTTTCAAGGGAGTATTTTGGGGCACTCCCAAGTAGGCGAAGGTGGACATTCAAGTCAATGCTAGGGATTCCCAGCCATGAATTAAAGCAACTGACCGACTGTCCTTTTAAATGCGAGTCCTTTGTCTACACTCAGTCAGCGATCTTTTTGGAGTCCTTTTCGATTCGTGCATGTGGGTGTGTCTTTTCGAGAGTACCCTTTTTATGGTGACTTTGAAGTAAAACCAAAATGGTTGTGGGTCCAAAATAGGTGTCCAAAATGAATGCCTGCTAAATGGAACCAAGGACTACAACCTGCGGTCTCCTGGTGGTTAAGTTTTGACCCATACCCAAATGACAACCACAATTTTGGTGGGTGCCCTCAACAAAAGCACACCCACATGCACAAATCAATCAGGACTCCAATGAGACAACAGGGTACCCTCAATAACAGACACACTCACTGGCCACATGAGTGTGCCTTTTCTAGCAGGTCCCCTTTTGGTTGGTTTTCAAGGGAAGCCAAAAGGAAACCAGCCAGCCCAAACCCTGTCAATGTGGCAATTGCACGCTCAAACCCTGTGTCCTCACTTGCAGGAAGGCTGCTGGAAGGACAACTGCCACTGCAGCTGCATTGGGTTGGGGAAAGCTGCCACAGCTGTTGGGTGTCCAAACTGCTTGGATCCCTTTGCGTTTTGCGACGAAAACCGACCTCACCATTTGGCGAGCAGGAGGTAGGCAACCTCTTTGAGCTTGCCACAGTGTTGTTACTTGCGCACGATTTCTGAGTTCCGAGGCAGCCATACTGACAAGTTCAACATCGACACTATGGACCACTGCGCCACTGTTTGCAGCCAGGCTCAGCGCAATTCGGGTTGCTTGATTCTGAATTTGCCTGCTCAGCCACAAACCGGACTGGCACAGACTGTTGGTGAATTCTTCTGATTCATTCCGGTCGATGGGATTCCCCTCAGGATGTTTTGGGGGGTTGCCACTTTTTTGGGTGTGTGTATCACAGTTGGGTGGCATAACCTCCAAAGAAGTGCTGTCATCATTTTTGCTTTCGGACTCCGCTTGTATTTAGGTGTATCGGTCACCTTGTCACCTACCCTTCCACCTAACCTGGAACCGGACTGGGGCGGGGGTCCAAGGGACTGTCTTGCGGGTTTCATGTTAGTGCGACGGCGGGTAGTCCGCCCCATATAGCAAGTGGCTAGTATGTAGCCCCAGCGAATGAGCCCCCATTCTGAGGCTTATAGCAGGATGAGTCCGAATTGGGGCTTAACCAGGGATAACCGTGGTCCACTTTCCTGCAAAAAACAAAACATGTCCTTGCTTTTTTCTCGCCTCGTTTTCCTTTTTCTTTTTCGCCTGGAAGTCCCCCTGCGTCAGGTGACCGGGTGCTCTTGGTGGACTTGGGGCGTGGAGGACTTTGCGGCCAAGTGCTGGCTGCGCTCGGGGAAGCACGGGAAGAGCAAGCGCCCTTCGGCTCAATGGCCGGCCGAATTTGGTCCGAAAAAACCGCCGGCCAAAACAGGGCTCCTTAAAAGTGTATAGTATAATGTAAGGATCCCTGTAAAATGGCCTGGATGTGCGTCTCCACGTGAATCATCCCTCTTATGGTGGTTTGGAGCCCGGTGGTCTGCTGGTTCAGGAGGGGTTTCAAACTTTAACTCTCTACATTTTGTTTAAAGCCAGGGACCCCGAAGCTTGCGGTTTTGAGGCTGGCGCCAAGCTCCTCAGTTTCAGGTGCCAACAACTGACCTTTGTCCATGGGACACTTGGGTGCTCGGCATCGGCCAAGTCAGATAGCAAGTGGTTGGGAACCTAGGTTATGACCCACTTACTGGGTCAACCTGGCAAGGACGCCACTCTAAGCCACACAATCGAGGGGCATTTTGAGGATTATCTTTTTTGAGGTGAGTAAACTTCCCTTTTCCAAAGGAGGCGTTCAGAAGGACCTACTTGGAGGTTGGGTTCTGCGTTTTTTTTCTCCTTTTTTTTTAATTGGGTATGCGTGGGGCGGGCTTGATGTCTCTTTCTTTGAGCCAGCTCAAAGATCGTGTGTTGGTGGCCAACTCTCGCTGCTGCATCTTGGGTGTGGCAAAATTCTGGAGTGGTAGCCAGCAGCCAGCGAGAAGCAAGCGAGAAACGGAAGGGCAATAAGGGCGCCTCCAAAGAGAACTAGGTCCCCCAGCAGTGTCCTTTCACCCTTGTTTGCGGCAGGGCTCCCCTACTAAAATAGACTACAGATAAAAGGGTACCCTTCGTCTAACCTCTCTACTGGAGGACCTAGAGAGGCATGTCGTTCCCCCTACTGTGCTACTCCAAACACACTATTGCTGGGTATGATTATGATGTCAACCTGACAAAAAAACACTGGGTATTTGCCTTGGCAAGCCTTGTTTTCCACAAGATTCCCAAGAAATAGCAGATCTTCCGAGGTTGGGAGAGCCTTCTTAGATACTCCGCTTGACCCTTGCAACCTCAGTAATTACCACACCCTCGGGCAGAGAAATTGGAAGGCTATGGCTTCGCCTCGGGGACAAGGAACTGCACTGTGGCTCTGAAGGCTCGCAGACCGCAGACCCCGGCAGTTTGGGCAAGCTTTTCATACCCGTCCTTTTTGGCCATGCTTTGGGGGGAAAAACTGACTTGCTGGTTCGGGAATGAGAAATGGAAGACCTCTATAAACAATCCCGTATGGCTTCCTTAAAGGGAATCCTTAGTTTCATTCCCACAAACCGCACTTTTTGACCGCTCATTGTGCCGTTGCATGGCTAGAGTTGTGACTTGCTCCTATTGTTTTCATTGGCGTGAAGGAACCTGACAGATTTCGGCCGCATCTCCATTGGGTTGTTTTGAGCTTTCGAAACCACCAAATCAGACACAAGAGATCCCGGAACACAATCTGACTCATCTCCCCTGCAAGATGTGGGTTCTTGAACAGCTCACGGGACGGATTTCGCGGGTTGACTCAACGGTCTTTACCAGTCCAAGAGGTTCCACCTTTTGCCTAGTACCCTGGCGATGTCAACAGGAAATGCCTCGTTCGAGATGGGCACGCTGCGCAGATGTGTCGGCCGAAGCAATCGCAAGCTGACGCTTAGGCTTTTGGGCTATCCAGTTGAAGCCGCAAGTTATGACGAGCTCCGGGGGTGAAACCAGGCGAACCGAACGAAGGTCCCTTTGGCGTCATTTCCCATTTGCCAGACCGCTACCACCACCTCGGCGCCGGCAAGTAGCTCGCAGCCGAGCCAGTCCAGCGAGGCTTCGGCGGTTCCACTTCAGACCCGTTGACGGCTTCTAAACAGGTCCTGGCAATCATGTGTAGCAGGGTCGCCAAATCCACGGCCCAGGCGTTTGTTATCTGTTTCCGTCAAACAAGTGCAACTGGGTGTGTGTGAAGACGTACAATTATTTGTTAGGCTGTTTGACCAGGGTTGTTCTCTCCAAGGGTTCTGCTCTTTCTTGTTGTTTCCCGAGCAGGCTTGACACAGTTTAGCCTGCCGTTAAGACACGGTGCACGAGTCACCAGCTTTTCTTGCATGCACGTGTTGAGGAAATAGTTGTTTTACATGCTTGGCCTGCCAGAATCAGCTTGTTGAAAAGGTAAATCACACGTAGTCACATGTAGTCACATTTTTTGGTTAGTTGCAAGCTGTTGCTCACATGTGCCAGATCTTTGTTCGCAAAGCATGGGACCCAAATCGGACATCGATGCGAGATGTGAGGCTCCATGAATTGCAGTTCTTGAGAGTTGCTGGTTCAATGAAATATCTGTTCATTCAAATCATGCCGTCGGACGACAACCAAATGCTACCTACTACTAAGTACTTTCTTTTTGTGATGTCAGCTCGGGACCATAAAATGTCATGTGATTGCCTTGGGAGGCCTGTCATCAGCCCTACTTTTGTCTCATTCGGCCTACTTGATTCCCCAACTACCCATCAGCAAGGGAATTCACCTTTGCAATCATTGTAGCAGGTTGGTCACCATCATGTTGGATTGCATATTAACCCACTTTTATGGCAGGGAGTGTTAAGTCCAGGTACTACCCTAGGGTTCAACCCCCATTAAAAGAATGGCCAGGACTCAATTTGGATGGTCCTTAGGTAAATGGTGAAATATGAACCCAACCATTGGGGGTAGCTGAACCCCTGGAGGTAAACCCTGGTTAATGAGGGGAACTGAATCCCGGTTTGGCTGTGAGTCAAAACCCATGGTACCATTTTGGGGTTTGCACCACCCATTTTAGTCTGCTTGAGTGGTTGGATTGGGATGTTTACTGGGGGTACGATTTGGATTTTGACCCATGGCCATGCCTCCCACCAATTGACATGGAAGCTTTGGGGTGATGGTTCAGTAAGCTGACCAGAGTTGGTGAGTCTCAAGGGTGCTCGCCAGGCCGCTGCGCCGGGTCTCCAGGCCTCCTGACACGTTGGTGGGGTCCGGGGTGCGGATACGCTCGCGCTCGAGTCGGTGGCTGCCCGACATGGCGTTGGGAATTTTGTGCTCCGAAAAGACAGTCGACCATTTTGAGAAACTCCCAACTTTGGGCCGGTTAGCGAATCACCTTTGCCAGCTGATTGGTCCCGTTGAAAAGCATGCGTTTTGGCATGTATACTTTGAGCATCCATGCCTGCGCTTTGCATGGTCCGCATGATTGCACTCAGTGCCCAAAAATCAAGATTCCAGGAAGATGCTACCGAGTTGTGAAGGAATTCAGCTGGTTGCCAAATTCATGCCAAGCAACGTGTTCCAATTGTAGATATTTCTGACGCTGTATGTCGGCACTTACCCCATTATTATTGCACGATGCTGCGAGCAAGAGCCTTCTAACATTTACCAGCTACATATATATTTATTTGCTAGTAGAATTGATGTTGAAAACAAGTTGTATACCCAATCAATGCTGGGTTTTCTATCTGGCAAGGGTTCTTCCAGCTCAGACATCCGACCTGATACTGGCAGATCTCCAGGAGCTGAACATTTTCATCCTAGGGATGGCACCTGGCAAAAGTCATGTCCAGCGTTTCACAGAGCCCGCCTTGCTTTTGACCTTGGTTTACACAGGGGATTGCTTGAGGCATCAAGCTGACATGTTCATGGGTTTTGGAGAAAAGGAAGTATACAGCTGAAGGGGTACAAGCTTTGGGTGGTTTTTTTTTCCCCCACGAAACTCCATGATGGCTGACCCGAAACCTCTCTTTCCTGGCCGGAGGCTCCAGCGCGCCGCCTCTCCAGCCTTGACGACTTCTCCCGCTTCGAGCTGCCTTTAGGGCCGGGGCCGTAGGCTGAGAGAGCGATCCCGGGATCCGTTGGTTGGAGCTGTTTGCCGCACCTCAAATTTATCCACAAAAAGGCTGGGAAATTCAGCAACCAGAGTTTGGGCTCAAAAACCCATGAAGTTGGAATTGTGTTAGGGTCCAGGCAGAAAAATCGGTGGCTTGGGGCTTGGTTGTTTGGGTTTTGAACAAACCACGGGGGTGGCTTCCCAAATTTCAGGGTCCCCTTAGACCTTGGAGAAATGCATGCTTGGTTTCCTGGCCCAAAGCCCTGGGAGTTGTAATCAGGGACGATATTACGAGAAAAAAACCCTCCAATGGGTTTCATTGGCTTCCTCTTGAAGGCAGTGCGTGAATGGGTTGACGTTGGGTCAGACCAAGCAAAAGCAGCAGCCCGGGCCAAACAGATCCGACAGGCAAAAAGTGACAACTCTCTGCCGGCTTCAAGGGGACATGACGTGGAACAAGGAAACAATTGCAAGGCTGAGCTGAGTAAGTTCTGCCGGTCTTGTCCTTTTGTTCTTTCCTACAAGTTTCCTCTATGTGGCATGGGTTTCAGCTTGTATTTGGGTATGGGTCAAAACATGTAGCGGCTACAATGCAACCCCCCCCTCCCCTCCAAGCAGAAACGGTGGTTTTGCTCTTGGTGTCCTTCACGGCAAGCTGAAGAGGGGTCCAACGCAACAAAAAAGCTAGAGTTCAGTACGATGACTTCCACTTGCTTAAGAATATATTTTTCCCTTGTTGGCTTTAAAAGGAAATTATCACTACTGGAGATATATTTTTCCAGGGGTCTTAACCAAATGGAAGATGAACACGGTCCGATTTGCATGAAGTTCCCCGTCCAGATGACTCGCCAGGTCCATGCTGCACATGCCTATGTTCGAGTGGGACAAAGAGAGTGAGCAGCGCCGCGAGCAGAAGGGCGAGAGCTGTCGCATCCACGGCCACTTCGATTTGAATAGGCGCGACGTCTTCAAAAAATAACACGGCCAGCAAAAGTACCCCTCCAGGAAACCCCTTGACCCTTAGATCACTAGGTTTCAGGCTCAAGGGATGTTTTGGGGTGGGACCAAAACCTCGGCCAAGGGGCCCCACCCCACCCCACCCCACCCCACCCCACCCCACCCCACCCCACCCCACCCCACCCCACCCCACCCCACCCCACCCCACCCCACCCCACCCCAGGCCATTCTAGTGTGGCACTCAACAGAAAGTGCCCTGGTCTGGTAGGGTCACTGGGTGGTTTGGTGTCCTTTGGTTTTCCTTATGTTTCCTTTGGTTTCGTGTGTTGTCCCTTTACCGGAAACCAATGGTTGCGGCTGCAAGAGCGAGCATGGGGGCCTGACATGCGTTGGCCTCTCAAAATAGGCATCGACCCCTGAAAGTTGTTGGCTTTCTCAAGTTTGATACAAGAAGGGGGTCACCCAAACAAGGGCTTCCCCAATTAGGAAACGAAACAGGGGTTCCCCACCACATCCACATGTCCATCTTGCATGTTTGTTCCGCCGCAGGGTGCCGGGGAACTTTCACATCGGCACTCACGGAGCAACTTTGCCATCCTACCTCAACTTCTATGACGATCCAGCGCCGCCTCAACAGAACATGAGGCTGCCAAGCTGGCAAGGAAAAGCAGCGCTTGGATAGCGCTAAGTGCAAGTGGTGGATAATAGTGGGGACTTATTAACTGGCCCTACTGAGTGGTCCAAGTGGGATATGTGCTGAGGGTTTCTACTGGGCTTTCCTTTCAAGTTGGGCGACCTCATCAGCATGTACCCGAGCTTATTAAATAGGGATGCGGTCAGCCTGACGGAAGCTGTGGTTTGTGGAGTTTCTCCAAGCTTGGGGTTTTGTCTTGAGGGGTTTGAGCTTAACCACAATGCCCGAGTTCTATCGAGGGATTTGAGGGAAAGGGGCCATTTGAGGTTGGACGCCCAGGATGTTTGCCGCGCACCTCGCTGCCGCCAACAACGTTCCATCACGTTTCACCGCATGTTGTTTTTCTGTTGCAAACTAGAACGATCTCACCTGGGTAAAATGAGCACGCATGATGAAGGTCCTTTAATTTCCCGAACATTCCTTATTTCCAGTTTGGGCATGGTAGTAAGTTGCCTAGGATGATCTCCTTCCGCAATTTGCTTTGCGCATTATGTGTTCTTGCATCTTCGCCGGCGTTTTGTTCCACCATCTTTTAAGTGGTATTCGTATAGCGGAACAGGAGAATGAATCCCCGCCTGTACCTATGAACTTCGGGGCACGTAGAAGCTGGTCCGACATCGATTTCCATGCTGCACTTTTTGGGGGGTCCAAGTCCAAAGAAACACCAGCCCCACTCCAAATTTGTGCAGTGAGTTTCGCTTCTCTGGGGCTGGTTCCGGGTGTTTTGACTGCATTTGGGGTCCTCAAAGTCAGAAACGGGGGTGTTTCAATTTTTGACCTACACCTAGGGAGTCACTTTGAAGTGGTAGAACAATGGGGCCAGTGTTTAGACGGGAACTACATGGAGCCAGGCACACGATCCACTCCCTGACCTTTGTGGATGTGTCCGCTCCGGATGGCATGTCTCATCCGCTGGACGGCGCCTTGACGGACGGGGCGAAAAGCGTCGCGCGGTTTGAGGTCGGCGGCGGGTTCATCCGGAGGGCCATACTCGCTGCGTGCTGGATACTGTGGATGGACGAATTCCTGCATCACTTAAGGAACCCTGGAATGATGATGTTTCTGTAAATTCCAACAAACCATGGTTTCCTATGGCTTCAAAGTGGTGCAGGATTTTGTCCATCCACATTGGCACAGAATCTTTAGTTTGCCCAGTGGTAAACCAAAAGGGGACAGGCAATTGTCTAATCTTATTTAGAGCTTATCTCAAACGAGAATCCGGGGGATCGCGTTCGCGTTCTACTCGCTGTTGTTTTTTGTTGCGTGGGGACTATAGCGGACTGTACCGAGGCCTGATACATCTGTCTTGGTTGGGCTTTGGGCGCTTGCCATTTGTCACGGTCTTGAGCCCTTGAAAGAAGGCGCAAACATATTGAACGCACAGGCTTCGCCATTGCCCCTGTTGTTCCTTTGTTTAAGGTCATAAGCGTGAAGAGAAGAAAAAACACTTTGGGGGACCTGGTTCGGGTCCGTTTTCTCCGACTGTACCTTGGTCCATTCGGGAGGACAGGCGGGGAGCTCACTGAATTTCGCGCAACGTTACTTGGCCTTTCAGCCAAGTCGCTCTTCAATTCAATACATCCCGAAAAACGGGCGATCCTCCAAAAAGGATGGCGTCCCAAAAGTTGCCACCCTCAAGAGCACAGACCACAAACCCAGTGACAGCGTCGCATCCACACCGAGGCTTTGAAAGCCCAAAAGCCTTCACCTTCCAGTGCCCGATCGAGCCGGGCCGCTGGAAAGGTGGGTTCTGTTGACCACATGTCCAATATTAAATATTTAGGGGTTGGTAGCAGGAACTGGTCAAATTTGGCAACATGAGTCTAAAACATCCTTGGCGGTTTTCACCTCCCCGGTTTTCTTTGGCCTTTGGGCAGTGCCTAGCAATTGTAACTTTCGCCTGGCGGCGTTGACGGCTAAATCAACCTTGTGGAGCTATTGAGGCTGAAACTCATACACGGGTGGCAACAGCGGCTGGTCAAAATATTCAGCAGTTGGTTGGGTCACGAAAAGGAGTCAGTACCAGAGTCAACTATTATTGACTCTACAGTTAATTCTTCATCCATAGGGTTAGATTAACCTGGGACTGTAAGTCTTGACTACCGTTGGGTCACTAGGGTTGATTTGGGAGGGCCATGGGGTGACTCACTGCAACTTTCGCACAAAATGCGGTTGGACTCTCCAAATCTTTCATGCCCAGTGCCAGGAACCGCATATGTTTGACCGCGCAGATGGTGTTTTTGTTTCCTCGCCAGGTATTACCTGATGATCACGCCCGTGACCAGACAAAGTGCCGCTTATCTTGACCAGTTCGAGTCGGGAAGTTATGGGAAATGGTCAGATTCGTTGGCTCGACTGCTTGACACGAGGTAAACATGGTGAGTTCGACCCTTTCTGGGAGGGAAGAGCCTGTGGCAGCGCCTTCGGAACAAGGCGTCAGGAGATGCCTATGGCTACCAATACAAGGCAGCCTCCTTCGTCACCAACGAACTGATAGGCGGGGTTGTTTTCAAGCTTGTTTTGAGCAACCGCAGATGCCCTTGCTTGAAAGGCAGCCCTGAAAACGGAGATAAAAGTATACATTGCAAAACTTGCCGGCTTTCAAGTCATATTGACCAAGCTGCAGAGGATGTATCCAATCCTGCACGTAATCATAGGCATCCCAGTTGGTGCAGGATTTTGTTCATCCACGGTATGACTGCGTGTCGTATGGGGTTCGCAAGCAGCTAGAATGGATTCCCCACCGTGAATGGGTTTTGTCAGGCCCTGCCGTCTTCTTCCGCATGGAGATCGACCCCATCAGGGTGGTCTATTACACTGAGAGGGTGGATCAGCTTAGCATTTGGAGCGCGTCCCTTCCAAAAGCACAGGGTCGGCCACCTTTTTCTTGCAGCATGATGAGAGCCCGTGTTTGATGGGCGGTACGCATTTGCCCAAAAGTCCAGGTACTTCTTGAGGGTGCCTTGTGCTACATGATTTTGCAGCAGCGAAATCGATCTTGGTCTTGCACGTCAATCTTCACTGTCTATGGGGATGGTATCTCTCCAGATCCCAGTCACCTGGGCTGTTCAAAGGCAATCCTTGGCTTGGGTTCAACCTGAGTGGCTTTCCAATACGGATTCGGGACGGCCAACACTCCATTGGTCCATGTTCAGCCCAGGGTACATAGCTAGCGAGCTCTTGGGTTCCTTCCCTTGGCCAATGGGAACTTCCAGCGGGTTGGGGCTCAATGAGCTGGGCTGGGTGGACATCTCTGCAGCTCAGAGATCCTGGAATGATGATGTCCCTGTAACTACCAGCAAAATCCAACAAACGTTATGGTGTCAATCATGGTTTCAAAGCGGTGCAAACGGTTTTGGTCCATGTACAGTAGCTAGCAGATGCTAGCAGCAAAGCCCCTCGTTTCATGCGGGAGTTTTCTTACTTGCTTGTTTGATGGCTTCGAGGTTCCAACCAGCAAGTTCATCGTGAACGTGTGCGCGGTTGTTGGAGGCTGCATTGCGTGGCTTGGCTTCATTGCGACTCGCTGCTACCCAAAAACCTGCGGTCCCCTTGTGGTGTAATTTTGACCCACACCCAGGTGGCCTTTGGAAGAATGGATGGCCCTATGGAATAACACGTCTAAACCAGTGCCATCGATTTCTATTCAAAGTAACCTACAGAAAATGGACACCTATGCTGCTGACGTCCCCTGCTCTGTTAGTCCATGTTTCCATTTCCCAGGGTTCATTTTGGGTACTTATGTTTGACCCACACCCACCTATGGTCAGTGAATCAAAGTTTCGGACCAAGGATCAGCTCCATGCTTCTGCAAATCCTGGATGCCATGAACGAGTGAGGTGGAGCGGAGACGAGCTCAGGTCTAAAGGAGGTTTCCCCCCGCGCAGGAGAAGGAGGACCAGACACGAGCGAGGAAGGACGAAATCAGCGCGCGGAGAAAGGCTGCCAGCGCGTTTGGGGAAAAGTGGTAAGGACTCTGAGCTTGGTCCGAGGCAATGAATGATGCTTTGGACGAAGGCTGTTCTCAGCCATACCCTTAGACTTGAGTTGCTTCGAGTTTTTGGAGGAGGTGCATCTCTCACTCAAGGTTCAACTGGTAGTTTAAGGGATCAAGGAACCAGTACTTGGGTGTTCGGCAAAGTAAGTAAGTCTTTGGTAACTTAGGTTATATCCCACTTGTGGAGTTAACCTTGTCATTGGTGGGTTATAACCCGAAGCAAGCGAGTATTTGTCCGGCACATGCCTCGTCGGCGCGGCGCTATAACCGCTGTGTTTTGTCGGCTCCAGCGAATCTCTGGCCACGAGAAACGAGGCTTCAGGCCGGGGTCCGGCGGCCCGAGACTTGTCAGCCACCGGGGAACCTTTTGCTTTAAACACATTTGGCAGTGGCTCAAAATTCAAGAGCTCGGGTTACGCAGGCTTTGTTCCATGTTTCCACTTACCAGGGTTCCTCTTCGGTACCGGTTTTTTGAGCCGTACCCATTTATTTTGAAACGGGTTCCCCTTTAAACTCAACCAACCAGAACCGAATGCCCTTTTGTCCCCAACTACTTGGTTACTGTGGATGGTTGCGGAATCCATTTCGCACCACCTACGAGACCTTGGAATGAAGATTATCCTGTAAATTATGGTTTCAACCATGGTTTTCAAAGTGGTGCAATGAATTTTGTCCATCCACACTACGTGTCCTGTTTAGGTTAGTTTGGAGAGAAATAAATGGGTTTCACTGGTCTAGATACGTTTTGTTACATTTCCCAGGGCCATCTATTTGTCCAACATGTCACCTAACCTTTCTTTGAGCAACATACACACACATGAGTCATGAGTCTGAGTTGTTTCATCACACTTACTTGTGGATTTTATGTCCATCCACCATTTATAAGGGCCCCTCTTCAGATTCATGGCCACATCAGAGACACACGTTGTGACATTTGACAGCCCTTTTTGAGGTTTCAAAGGAAAGCCAAGCTGAAACCACCAGCTTGGTTGCATTTCCCATTCTCGGAGCCCACGTAATTCAAACGTACGGCACTGGACCATAAACCCTTGCACCATTCAGTCATTAAACCAGGAAACCATAAGCCAGGAACCACTACTGTAATCCATTAAACCATTTGGCAATTACGCCATTAAACTCTGACACCAGAGACCAGCCACAAACAAGCCATCGGTCAATCCGCCAAGCCACGAATTATGAGACCAAGCTATAAACCATGAAGCTCTCGAAACCTTACTCCATGCATCTTAAATTTAACCATTTTAGACCACGGGTTATTACTCCATCGATTTAACCATTTTAACCCATGGGTTATTCACACAAAGGGAAAGCGGATCTGAAACCGGACGGCCCTTCGACCCCGCTTCGGCCGCTTTCCAGGCGGCCAAGCCATGCTGTGGCTCGTGCTGCCCGTAGCGCCCGGGGCTCGCTCGGAGCGGATTTGGATTTGGACGGCCTCTTTGCGGGCGGGTGACGTTCGTTTTCGGTTGGGGAAGGAGAGATCAGGACTTGGCCATTTGGTTGGATCCTCAGGTACCGCCGTTAAAACAAGGGTTGGGCTCACATTTCACCATGGTGTTTCCGTTTGGGATTGTGGACTAGTTGGTAACGGATCTTTGGAGTTTAACGTTTTGGGAAGGAAACAGAAAGGATTGTCCGAATTGGACCCACACTAAGTTGTCAACTGTTTGCTGAGGGGTCAGCAGCAACAAAAACTTGTTGGGATAAATACGTGGTCCGACCATTAAGAAGGGTCCCGCTATGATTCGCCAGTCCTTGAATCGAAGGGAGCAGATCACCTTGGGTAGCCAGCTGGAAGGTTTGGGGCAATCCACCTGAGCCACAATCAAAACCCGGGTAGATGAAGGTTAGTAAGGGGGCAGTCCCAGCCAGAAATAGTCGCGGCCGCCTTTTTACTTCTTTACATTTACATGGTTCTGGTTAGACCATTTTAATACCGGGTTTGGTTGTGACTCACGTAAGAACCTGTCCGGGCTTTTGGGCCCAGGCTATACCTCTTCCGCAACCGCCTGGCCACGCTCACTGCCTCGCTGCCTCCGCAGAAGTGGGGAAGCCCGGACGGTCCTGCGACTGCCTCCACCGGAAAGGGTAACCTCAAAAAAGCAAACAAGCCCATGTCCAAAACGTCAGGAAAGTGGTCGTTCGGGGGAAGAGGTGCAATTCGGGCTCTTTGTAAAGGTCAAGGCGTTCCTAGAGGTGCTTCTCTTGGTGGCTCCCTGCCATCCGGTTCCTTAGCTTTGCAGGTTTGTATAAATAGGGTTTAGTGGTAGTTAACCCATGAAAAGCCAAAACTCTTGCAGGGAACCAGACAACGGGCAGCCCAGACTCCTGGATTTGCCTTCAGGGTGCCTGACTTGTGGCCATGGTGTTCGTGGATCGGCGCATGAATGGGGCGATTCAAAGGCCGTCCAGAGAAATCCCTTGATACTGTGGATGGTTGCGAGTCATCCCTTTCACACCTACCAAGCCATGGAAAGATTCGATTCCCCTGTAAATACCAACAAACCATGGTTTCAACCATGGCCCGAAAGTGGTGCCATGAATTTCGTCCAGCAACAGTAAGGCCTTGCTTAGGGCTTAAGGTCTTTGAGCTCCCTCCCTCCAGCCCAGGATGCCATGACCCACAGGTGAAACCACGGATATGTCTGGAGGGGTGTTCAAAATCAACCCGTTGCCCAAAAGAAGGGCGCCTCTTTTTCCGCAGCTGAAAGCTCTGGTTTCGGGTTCCAGGAGTTCAGGGGCTGCTGGGTCCCGATACCACGGAAAGTTGTGTAAGTGCAGAAGAAAACAAGCAGCGCCCCTCTTTCTGGAGGGTTGCGTCCGTAAAAAAAAAAAAACTAGTCACCAAAAAAACAAAGTGTTTCTTGTCCTCACCAAAAAAGCAGTGCTTTTTCTCACCAACAGAAGGCGAGTTGTTTGTTTCTGAGTGTGATTTTTCTAAGTCGTTCGGACTGAGGACGGTCTTCCAGGGGCACTTGGCCACACTGGTCTTTGCGCTGCAGGGCACCCAGATGTTGAAGCGGAGGTTGCTGGGTGACCGGAATGGTACTACTCTGGGGTAGACTTAGGATACATTTTACATTTTACCAGTGACTCAAAGTGAAGCAAACAATAAAATATACATTCTATAACTGGGCCTAACTCTAATCATGTACTGTGGATGCTTTGAAAAGGAAGACCAAAAGGAAGCCCAGATCCATCTTAGGGGATCCAACCCATGAGAAAAGACAGAACACATGTATCGCAAGGCGAGAAAGGGGTCAACATACTGTATGCAAGTATTACCCTGCGATTCAGTGTTTCCACCATCAACACAAGGATTGAGCTCATATTGCAGCACCAGAACATTTCCATTCAGGATTGGCATCATCTAAATTGGCTCATCCATAATTTTAATGAGGGTTGAACTTCTATAGGGACTAATGTTGATGGTTGCGAAATCCAGTTCGATCCACGAAATGAAGCTGTGGCGGCATGGTATGTTGGTATGTACAAGCGAATCAAATCATTCCAGGGATTCTTTGGTGGTGCAGGATTTCGTCCATCCACGGTATCAGGGCATAAATGGTTGGAATCAGGTTGTGGCTAGCGCGAAAGCAAGTTGAGTCATCATCATCATCATCATCGTCATCATCAGCAGCAGCAGCAGCATCACCATCACCATCATCATAATCATCATCATCATCATCATCATCATCATCATCATCATCATCATCATCATCATCATCATCATCATCATCATCATCATCATCATCATCATCATCATAGGTGTGTGTGTGGGTTGCTTATTATTCAACTCCTACTATTACCATTACGTCAGAATGCCACATACAGTTGTCTCATAACGAAACCAAGGGATGCCGCTGTATGTACGAAGTATGGACCATGTCCAAAGGAAACCACGAGGACACCAACCACTTGGAGCTCCTGGTTTGAACACCAGCCCATGTGCGGTAGGGTTATAGGTGAAATTGCGCCACAGAGAAAACGCAGTGGCCAAGACACATTCCCATCCATCGCCGTGCTCATCTGGAGGTCGACGCGTTCTTTCGCCAGTCTTCCGCACGCGTGATTTTGGCTTAATTGCTTCGAATGTACATCGCTAACCAGTCGTGACACTTCCGCTCGTCCGAAGCTTCGGACGACCCAAGGCTTTACATACTCCCACTGGAGTTTGTGGGTCTGGGCGCAGCCGACTCAGATCCGATTCGCAAGTTTGGGTCCGTTTCAAGTGGTACCCTTCAACCCACATGGAACTCATCAGAAGGCTCCTGTTAGGAAATTCCAGGGAGTTACAGTCTTGGCGGGGATTGGCGAGGGTAGCTTGTTTCATGTGTAAGAGCAAAACCACTTTCACTCGGTGATACAGTGATCCTTGCTTCATTAAAAAAAAAAAAAAGATGGTGAATCTCGCAAGTTCGCAAAGCCTGGGATGCTTTAGGCCTGTTCTTTGTTTATGTTTGCACAAACCCAGCAGGGTATTCTTTGGTGACGGGCGAGCGGAATGCTGCCTGTGGTGGTTCGTGCGCTGGGACCTGAGAAGCCATGATTGGTGCACCAGGAGCTGCGCCAGTTGTCCCTTTGCGGCGTGTCCACATCTCTTGCAACAGTTGCTACAGATTCACCAAACACCAAACAGAGGACAGACAATGGCCGCCGAATCACAGTTGCCACGATCCATATCTTGGTATCCGAGGGGTGGGTTTGATCTCCCCTCTCCAATGATTTGCCGCGCTGTATCATATTTATTTTGTTTGGCTTCGTGTTTAATTCTAAAGTGTGACCACATTATTCACTGGCCATCTCGACTCGTTCGTTCTCGTCACCAGTTTCTGTTTCTTTGTTTCTTTTTGGGGGGAGGTGTACCCTTTTTGGACAGTTTTCTCAAGCAAACCCAATGGGAAGATCATCATTTTGGGGGT